AATAACCCAGCAATACACCGACCCTTAACCCTAACCACACCATGAAACCTGGCCCAAACCTTACCCTTATCTCACCTCAATAGCAGCAAACAATTTCTTGCACAAAAACATTTTTTTTAAAACATATTTTAGTAGTTAAAGACAGCTAATATAAAGCATGACCTCATTTGGTCTTGGAAGTAGATGTATGGGCATTTTAACTCGAGTAACTCAGCTGCCATCAAATAATTACCTATAAATTTCCTTCCTCAAAAAGTTTAAATTGAAATAGAGAATAATTCATGAAAAACTGAGCTAACTGATTCTTTGGTGTGTTCACGTTTAATGAACATTTGCATGACTTTGTTTAGAATATATTGGGAAGGAATTCACACACACAATACAAGTCTTTAATGTGTCCCCATTACAGTGTAATTATACATTTAAGCACTGAGTAGTAGAGTTAGGAATAAGGGTTGGTTTAGGCCGGGTTAGTTGCATGTAATTATGTATAATTTATAGTTATATTACTATAGATAGTAAATAAATACATGTAACATGTGTAACAAGGACTATTTATAGAGTATTTTTAAAGTGTGTTTCTACAGGCCAAATATAAATTATTTATAATAATATTTAATATCAAAATTCTATTTAAAAATCACCCCTTTTTCCCACATTGCTCTACCTAATTTCCACTGAACGTATGTATTTAGTTTTTGGCACAATTTTAGTTCGGTTACTTTTTTTGCGCTAAATAAACATTTATTTACATTATGAGCTCTACATTTGTTAAATTATTGTACTGTATAATTACGTTTTATCATTATTCTGTGATCTTTTTGTGTTTTTTTTTAGTCACAGCACCTAACAGCTCATCTTATACAGTGCATTCATACTGTACAGTTTTACCTAAAATCTACACATTGAGGGAAAAAGTCCATCTACATGTTTACCCGGTACAGGTTTTTAAACTAATCTAACTTTTTAAATTTTCAGTTATTTAAAGAATTATAATAAAGAAAGTCTATTCTTAAAATTGTATTTCAATTGTTCAATATTTAAACGAGGCAACTGCCTTTTTTAATATTTGTAGCAGTCAGAGTGTTTATGATGATTATACTTTTTGCGTTCTATTAATATATACCAGCTCTAATCATGTTTAGTGTATGAACTGGTAACTTCGTTGATGACACAATGATTACTTTTTAAAAAAGAAATTAAAAAAGACAGTGATTGTCACAAATTGGGAAATTTAGAGGGATGGAACATCCCACTTCATAGCATATAAATTTAGCCGACCTACTAATATTTAACTCCGTGATTTTCCCCTGTCTTCCACCCCCAATGATGTGGTCTTCAAATTCCCCTCATGAACAGCTATATAATGTAGAATTTGAGGATGCTCTCCATCATCACAATCCTCAACATTGCTGCTACTGTCCACACAACTAACCTATCAAATACTTTTGAACACTTTTTATTTAATTTTTCACCGATAAGCGTCTTGATTCCCTCCCATGATGAGCAAACTCGTCCTGACGTCATCGACGCTGCTGCTGCTGCTGTGTTACTGGGTCACTTTGAGTCAAAGCAGTAAGTAAAACTGATTTCTATCACACATTCTCTTTGATTTCAAGTGTTTTTTCAGTGCTTTAAATTCACAAGGCTGTTCTTGAAATGTATAGCCACATGTATTTTTATGTATTTTACACATAGGGCGAACACGTTTACCATAACTGAGACACTGCCATGCTTGATAATCAGGGCTTTTACAATTGATTTATGATTAATTCATTTACATAACTCAATGGTGAATTGAATAGGCCTACTTTTACACTACCAGAAAAGTGGATTAATGTGGAATAATGAATCTTTGAATAAACCTGTGGGAGAGGTTAGTTGGTTACGTATTACAACATGAACTTAGAGTGTGTCATGTGTTAAGGTCCGGTAAGGTGCTGTACCAAGTATTCATCGCAGCCTTTACCTGTTCACCGGCTGAAAGAGTTCACTCGGCAGGGCGGCACCATGACCTGCAACATAGAGGCTGTCATGTGAGTAACAACACTGGTTCTGTCTTCAAATTACATGTCTCTGATATTAATGTTCTTACATGTGAAAGAACAATCTGTGGTATTAATCTAGAACATCCTCTTTCCTGCAGATTTACTACGGTGAAGGACAGACTGATCTGTGCTAACCCTGATGATCTATGGGTTCAGAAAGCCATATCACATATCCAGTGAGTTCAGCATTACACACTTAAATTTATGTTTCTTAAAAACAGCAATCTATTGAATGGTAGTGAGCACAAAATGTAACCTTAGCTGTGAATATGACTAAACTGGCAAGTTCAAGGTTTTGTAATGTGCAAATGTAATTCTTTTTTTGATGTGTTTGTCTCCTTATGCTGAATATACTGGTAAATGAGCTGAAGTTAAAACTTGAGAAGCCTCTCTTAACGGTTTTATTTCGTTTCTCGCAGGGAGAAAAAAAGGAAGTCAGCATAACGTGGACACCATCAAATCGGTCTAAAGTTGCCTTAAATTGAACAAACCAACAGTAACATTAAACACATTGATTATAATTCATTTTTAGAATTAATTAATAAATAAGTTGTTTTGACAGCAACAATTAGTCTTTTTGTTTTGTCTGCTAATGTTTCAACTGCAACATTTCTAATAAGGGTGACTTAGTTTGAAGTATTTTCACAATATGCTCACAAGGTTGCTCTGGGATTTCAACACTCTAAATAAATCTTTACAGCAGTACACCTGGGCAAGATAGAAATGTGTTTAACCTTTTTGACAAAAGTAAAAAAACAAACAAAACAAAAAAACGTTTAAGTGGAGTTAGACGTGAATGTTTGGGAGGACACAAAGTAGACAATAGGTGGCAGCATGTGTCCACTTGCCAGCAGCCCAAAATTAATCATTGAAAATCTGTTTAGTGCTTGCAAAAGCATCAATGTCCAGCTTAGAAGTAATTACTTTGTACTTTTTAACCAACCGTTCCCAGAATGTCAGACTAGGAAAGTACACTTCTTCAGGTCTTACCCTGCATGGTGTTCCACAGGGATGTGTGTTGAGTGCACGCTTCACTCATGAGGTCTACCTGCCCATGTAACAAACACCATTGTAAAATTTGTAGATGGTATTGGCTTTATCGTGACGAACCACAAAATCTGACAGCCTGGTGCTCCAACCAACAATCTCATTCTTAATACCAAGAAGAAAAAAGAGATAGTAGTGGATTTTAGGAAGGCAAAGAAAATATGTCTGAGTCCTGTGCTCATAAATGGAGTGGCTGTAGAGAGAGTTCCCTGTTTATAATTGATTGGGATTGAACATTACAGAGGATTTTTCCTGGACTACACACACCTCAACTGTAATTGGAAAAGTACAACAACGTCTTTATTTTCTGAGAAGATTAAAGAAAGTAAGATTAACATGCAGTGGAGAGTGACATATTGCATCACATCCTTGTATGGTAGTTGTACAAGAGAGGAACAGAGTGCTGTGCAACTAGTTACCAAATTAACACAAAATATCATTGGCACACAGTTACCATCAGTTGAGTGCATTTATTTGTTTATATGTCAGAGCAAAATCTCCAAATTGATTTTAAGCAGAGCAGAACCTCCACTGTTGCTTTTAGTAGGGATGCACTGATATGAAAATTTGGCCGATACCGATAATTCTTTATATTTGAAAGCTGATAACGATATATTGGCCAATAAATCTAAATTTCAGGAAAAATACGTTTTTATATACATTTTGAGACCCTGATTGCAAAAACACAAGTCTCACTATTAAAAGCCATGTCCCAAGCACACAATTATAATGTTCTCTATAACAGACTTGCGCTGCACATGTTGCACTAAACTCTATTTTCCTTTTTTGAAGTGATTTCAATCATATTTCAAGCAATTCAAAACCATCAAGGCGAACAGTGCGCATCTGAAGTGTCTCAGCTAAAGGCTTTAAACTATATGCCAAATTTTCTTATCTGTCCGATAATGATAACATTAAAAATTATCATATATCAGCCGATACCGATATGGTTGCAGAAATATCTTGCATCCCTACCTTTTACTGTACTAATTGTTTTATCTTATGTATCTTTTTTATACGAACAAATTGTTGTTGTTTTGCACAGCAGTATAATGACAAAAAAGTCTTTAACTTCAGCAGCAATTAATCCAATGCATCCTTCTTTTACATTAAGGGGGGAGAGTTTTGCAATTATGTTGTCATGAGCTTACAACAGAATTGCCTCACATAGCAACCATATTATTTATTCAGGCCACAGTGGGCACAGGGCCGGTGTGGTGCCGAAAAATGACTGCCTGCCAGATTATGCCTGATTCCCCAGCATGGTTATGTTAAGGATTAGGTGTGGGGTTAGCCAATCAAGTAGAGGCTTCAACAAGGGGGTTACTTTAGAGTGCAAACTGGGTGCTTAATGTAAATGTGTTCCTATTCAAAAAATGAGAGGCTTTTATGGTCGCCCATCAATGCAAATGTCTCTGTGTATAGAAGGATCATAAACATGCTGATACAGACGCACCAGTTCGGCCAGATTCGGCTCGAAGTCGTTCATCTTCGGATGCGGCGCCGCGCGCGACGAAAAGTGCCGTGCACACCGCCAGGCGAAATGGGGTCTTGCGCACCCAACGCGCACGACCGCCCACACCGCAATGACGTCATTTTTGCCGCGCGCACTTCGCGCTCTTGTGGACGCGTCGAGTATAAACAAGGCTTAACGCGCCCTGTCAAGCGCAGCAGTTATTCTATTCGACATCACTCATCGATCAAAAAAGGCTTTGGAGGGACAAAAATTTGCTTTGGCGGCCGCGAAAAAGCGGACGATCTGACGGTTTTAGAGGATTAAATACAACCCGAAACTAAAAAACAGACCCGGCCTCTATTTGAGACCGGCCTTTATTTACCCAAACCTGCAGCCACACCAGGCGCGTAAAAGAGACAGGCGTCTATTTGGGACTCGGCTATTATTTGAAGTTTTACGGTACTTTAAAGCTTTTCATAACCTGATTCATTAACCACTCTTCTAGGGGTCAGTTTGCACTGATGCTTTATCAGCACTTTTGTCTATCATGAAACGGATCTGTAGCCTACTCCAGGCGCAATGTCCAATTTGGATTTGTACTGATAAATATCATAGTTCTCATTATCATCCTCAATCTTTTCAAATTTCACAACATAGTGAAATGTGTAATAGTCATCATTCTTATTTTTTGAACTAGTGTAAAACCCGACCCATGAGTAGTAGAAAGTTTATTTCCAGTCTGTGAAGGTCTTCTTGATGTAAAACCGAGCACAAGCTTTACCATCTTTAGTGAAGAGCTGCAGACCAGCCTTGTCAAGCTCTGGCCCATAAAAAAATTCTGGACCATTTGATGAGTGTTCAGGCTGAAGACCAGGATTCTGTTGACCACAATCTGATGGTAATATTGTCACTTCTTCAACACCCTCCCAGGGTGGAGTTTGTGCTAAAACCTTGTTATATTTTTTATCCAGCAGAAAACGGATTTGAACCCCAGGAGCAATAGCCAAACTGGAATCATACTGGTAAATGTCATAATTCTGTGTGATATAGTTTTCGGTCTTTGCAAACCAATCGGCATACTGTGTAATAGTCATCATTTTTATCTTGTGAGCTTTTGTAGAACCCCACCCATGAGTAGAAAAGAACATCCATCCATTTACTGAAGTTTTTTTTGATGTAGAGTCGAGCACAGGCTTTGCCGTCGGCAGCATAAAGCTGCAGACTAGCATCAAATCCCTTTATTATAGCAGGGATCACTCAGGGCTTAAAGTATTCCGGCACCGTGCCGGATCTCCGGCGTGCGGCCGTGAGGGAAAAAAAAAATTGTGAACTTGCTTGCGGTTTAATATTTTCGAGTCACTTGATTTCACCTACCAATCATATGAGAGGATCGCAGCTCTAACTAACGTTACAAGCCTATCAGAAGCAGAGCAGGGCGGGTCCACAGTGTGATTGAGATCCATACGTCAGATTAGCGTCGTCGGTGAAAGCATGGAGCGCAAGTTCATAAAGCCCGGGGATGATGTCTTACCCACGGGTGTAATTTCCCATTGCGGACACTTTCAACTTCGTTTGTTATGATTTTTAACCGCACGCCGTCATTGCCACGGAGGAGCAGGACCGAGCCTGTGTAAAATAGCTCACTGAAAGTTCTAATGAGCAGGTAACGTTATAGCGGTTGCGACCATAGACTATAAAAAAATAAATTGCGACACCGTTAGTGATGAAACGCCAGAAACAATAACAGGTGACTAATGTCATCATGGATGAAAAGAAAGAAAGGAGATGTGAGTTGGTTGATTCGGGAAATTAGCTCAGGTCAGGATAATGGGTAAATTCAGACTGTTAGCTAAATATTAAATGTAGAACATTCTGTGTAGCTTACTAAAAAAAAAATTATTTAACGCAACATCCATCCGTTCTTTCTGTCATCCTTTAGCTAGGGTTATGATCACACTCTTATTCACGCAAATGCTTTAAACCATTCCTGCGCTACAAGACAAAAGAGATCGCGCTGTCAGTGAATCATCTGGGGCTTTAGATACTTCTGTCTCACTGAATGCTGGTCTCCAACCACGACTGCGACTGTACCCATCACTTTTCGATTTTCATTTTACTAATCCATACATTTGGTATGGATCAGAGTTTGATGGAGCTAATGGAGTGATCAGGGGTTAAAGTGAAAAAAATTCCTGAGCCTGAACTTTTTTTTTTTGGGGGGGGGGGGGGGGGGGGGGGGGGGGGTGATAAATGGTGCCATTGATTATCTTCAATGGCACCATTTATTTTCAAGTATTACAGCTGTATCTTAATGGCATCTTTTTATGAAAGAAAGCCAGTATCACTAATATTATAGCTACTGATGTCTCAATGAAAATGATTTTCACCCAAATTTTAAACGTTAGGCTTCAAAAAATATAAAAACTTTTAATTTAAGTGAACCCTGGTCACTTCTCTGACGAGAACGCTGCTCTCCTCGGCTGTGAACCGCTCCTGGCGCGCGCCTGGCAAATCCGCCGTTTTTTTTTTAATCGCTCTCATTGCCACAATTGTGTTTCAAACGTGGAGAGTAGGCTATTGTGTGACTGTTCATTTTTCCCGTGTCTCAAAATGTTTTAAATGTTTCATGAAGTACAATAAAATGCGAAATATAACTTTAATCACTCTCATTGCCACAATGTGTTTTGAAAAAAGGAAAGAAAAGAAAAACTAAAAATCTTTTTGTTTTGGTTGAAGATAATATTTTAACAGTGCAAAAGTGGTCCACATTTCATTTATCCTAATTGTGTCCGAACGACAATGATTGCTACATGAATGAATGAATGAATGCTACAATGATTTTTTTTTTTTGCCCCCCCTGGCTCGAATGTCAAACTCCGCCTATGATATTTATACTATTAATAAATGAGCAAAACTTGGCCACTCAATATTTAATATTCAATTATTTTAATTTTCACAATTAAAGTTTTCATTTTACTAAATTGAACAAGCACAACATTCAGCATTCAATCAAATATTCTTAAAGATTTATATCTCCTTATTTCGACATAATATGTGTGCGTGCATAAAGCAAGATGCTTGTAAATCCGGTGACAGGTGATTTTTATTAATAAAATATTTTTTTCTGTGTCAGCTGCAAGATGAGGTTGACGATCACCATCTCCGTGAACGCGCCTATTCACATAGGCCTATTGGATTTCATAACCAGGGAGTAACCTAGGCTATTTCTTTTCGTTTTGAATTGTTTCGTTTAAAGACACTTCAAGCTTTATATATTTCTCATCTGTGAGGCATATGCTGAGTTTTGGTTAATTTATGATGAGATGCGCTCCAGTTCACGTGCAATGCAAGTGATCGCGCAGGCGCCTCCATGTCATTATTATATTGTCTGCTATATTTGCTATCCAGGCAATTGGTTGATGAAAAATGTATTAAAATTAAGATACAATTTATACAAAACGAAATTCACTTTAAAGAAAGGCTCTCAAAACAAAACGTACATTGCCTCTTACATTGAGTGGGTCAAAATCATTTCTGACCCACTCAATGTCTCCCGATATATACATCCTATCTTACTCATGCTGTTAACTTTTCATAATCAACAAAAATGGAAAAATATTCCATAAGATAAAATATATATAAATAATATTGTAACAAATGTAAAACTAAATGCGCTTATTTAATGGCTACAACACGTATAGGCCTATTTGTACGAATTCCTGCACATTAATTTAATTCTGAATTTTGCACTCGTAAGTTGAAAGGCATTTTTTTGTGTATAGTAACACATATCTGCAACATTTATCAAGTTCACTGATATTGTGCATGCATTTATTAATCATTATGATACTAAAATCATAATAAAGTGCTGTACTATGTGCAAAAAAAAATCAGATCATAAGCCAAGAATATTGACGCAACGCGTTTAATTAGCCTACACATAAAGCATTTTCCTCCCAGGAAAACCATTATAAGAACGCTTGGTTTAATGCAGATTAGAATGTCCCAGCAGTTGTTATGTCGAAATAACGAGATACGATGTCGAAATAACAGATAGGCCTATTATGCCGAAATAATATTATGTTGAGTGGCTCTGTATCGTCGCGTCGGGTATGGTGGCATGATGGGGTTGTTGTTTTTTAATTAAAAGTGTGTGTATTGTTATTATTATTATTTTTGAGGGTGGGAGAGGTAGGCCCCCCCAGTGACACATCGAAGCCCCCTCGTTCCGTATGTCCTGGCGCCGACCCTGGAAGTGACATTGGGGATGGAGAAACCCACCCAAATTAACTTCTGTTAAACAGGCGTATGATAATTTGGGTAAATGTGTAAGCTACATGCTTTTATAATAAATTGTCTTTCTATCTATCTATCTATCTATCTATCTATCTATCTATCTATCTATCTATCTATCTATCTATCTATCTATCGTAATAATGTATTGTGGTGGCAATTTTAATGATATTCATTGATCTTTAGTTAAATATAGATGATTCAAAGAATGTCACATGTGTGTCTCTCACTTGTAGTGAGAGAGGATTCTGTTTATGTACCTGGGGAGGCAGAAGAGGGAGACACTCCAGAGAACAGACGAACAAGGACCTCTGACCTAGATGTCAGAAGGCCACTGAGTGCAGGGGAGCTTAGTGGGCCAACTAGTGACGTCTATGGAAAACTACTGGGAGGAAGGCTCTGGGGGGAAGAAGGCCTTGAAACTAAGATAAAAGCTAGTTCAGTCTGTCTGGGGGTGTGTCACTCTTCTGCACAGGGTAACAACTGTGTATTAGACTGCTCCTATTCTTGCAAGAATAAATACTTCTATTTTATATAATTTGACTCTGAGTGTCTCTTACGCAGTGATGTTTGTTTGAGATGAATTTTTGCCACAACAGTTTGATTTGCAAAAATGAAAACTGCTGCTTAGATGAGAGAATCAACGTGTATGCGCGTTGTGCACCCGCTGGCTACATTGATTATGGCCAAGCATGCGCCCTTAAAATAGCATAATGAACAACGCGCAACGCGCTACTGACTTTAGACTAGGTTTTTTTCTGGTCAGTGGCGCAATTGTTTTATAGAACAGCAAAATAGCATGAGGGAAAGTTTGCGCCGGAACACGCCTACTCTTTGCGCTGAACCGCCCCGGGGAGCGCAAGTGTATTTCTTAGTTAACCGACGTGCGTCTGTGGAGGGAAAAACCCGCTTTGCGCGGGTGAAAAATAGGAATGATACATGCGTCAGTGTACAAAGTCATTTGCGCCGAGTGCAAGATAGGGCCCTCTGAGTATCCTTTGTGGCCTGTTTTGTTCCATAGAGACAATGAGCCTGTCCATGTTTCTTTGTGGCACATTGGTGTTTCTGTAATATCTCCCCACATAGGCCGGCAATGCTTTGGCTCCAGGAGATTTTAAATTGCCAACCGTATAGTAATTCTGCCAACTCAATGAGGGTAGAATGCCCTCTTTATTTAAATACCGATGGAATCCAAAGTCGCCTCTATGAGGATAAAAATTTGATTCAAGGATGAGAATGTTGTTCTGATCAACATTCAGCACTTTTTGAGCAAACCAGAACAATAATTGGAGTCCATGACGTGGAGCAGACTTGCCATAGTCAATGTTTTTCAAGTCATCGATATTGCTAAGTTTTTTCACAGAAGAGACGCTCACCAAGAAGAGGCAGAAGAGCAGGAAGCAGAGTCTCATGGCACCCATGGCAAAATCTTAATCAAAAACAAAACATTGTAAATCAAATATATAAGCTGTAAATACAACTGTGGCATAAGCTGGCAATTTATGATGGCAAAATGTTATATTTTTATATCGAATTTAAGATTTTAAAATTAACGTTTTAAAAAAACTGAACAGGAAGATTTTCTGCTATTTTTATGCTTACTAAACAATATTAATATAGAACTTCATTACAGAATTACATTTTTATGAAGGTTCTTAAAGGTGTAGCATTTCTGTGAAGCACCAGTTGGGAGAATCGTCAAAAAATAGAGCAATGCTTTGACAGTGCCACAGAGCCGCTGTGTACACTTTTTGGGGAAATCTGCTTACAGTTATATCCACATTAAGATGGGAAAGGAGAAAATATTTTATCGTCAAAGAAAATTACACACCTAACATCTAACTTTGTTAATTTTAAATGTTAAGAGCACATGATCCTGATCCTATCGTTGCAATATAAAATCTAATAACTTAAATGTAAATATTAAATGTAATATTTTGTATAAAATATCAAATTAAGATTTCAGTCCATTCTGTAAATGTAATTTATATTATATTTAATAATATGAATCTATTTAAACTCTTTGAAGACATCTAAACAGGCTTAAATTTAAACTCATCCTACCTCAGATTGAAGGTCCTCAGTGGAAGAGCCTCTGGATCTTATACATCTCGGGTGTTTATTTATACAGAGGAGGCAGTACTTTACAGACAGCACGGGGTGTGTGTCCCTCAGTAGTACTTATTGTCAGTCACCATAGGCATCGATTTATATTTCTGCCAGTGAGTGCCCCATACTCTCACTGTTTAATGTTTAATGAACACTTGCATGACTTTCTTTAAAATAGAAAAGAAAAAAAAAAACATTATTGGTGAGCATTTTGAGACAAAGCACTGACATATGTTAAGATTTTCCAGTGCAAGTTGGTTTCAGTTAAAACAGCTCAAACTTAATTGCATTTTAGTCTGGGAGGCTTAAGCCTTGTCTGTAAAACCGGAGGGGAAAGCCTCTATTTATAAGAGTTTGATAAGACTTTTTTGTCTCTTGAAGGAAAAACACAAGAAAGTCACCATAATGTGGACACCATCACATCTGTCTAAAACTGAACAAACAAACAGTAACTGAAACCCTCAAAAATGTATTGATTAGAATTTATTATTTATAATAAATTAATTAATTAATGGTTTTGACAGTCATTTGTTTAGTTTTGTTTAGTTTAGGTCTGCCACCTTTCTATTTTCACAATACGTGCTCGCAAGGTTGCTCTGAAATTACAACACACTAAACCGAATCTTTATATCAGTACACCTGCATGGTCCTGTTCACTGTGAAGCAACAAAATAAATAGCTATTTCACTATTATCATTTGTAGAGTTGTTACTGACTTTTTTTTTTTTTTTACTAAATGATGTTTTATTAACAAAGCTCGGGAGGAGCACGTTCAGTTAATTAACACGAGTGGAGTGCACACAGCAATCAATGATAAGAGGTATTCGAGGGCTTGGAGCCAGAGGGGCGTAAGTGGCTTTTGACCAACTTTACAGGAGAGACAAAACAAAATTTTGACCACACTTCAATCACCTGTATCATTAACCTTAAACCACAAACATTGCAACCACAGGCATACTTACATGAATGAGTATTTAAGTAAAAAATGTATGGCATATTAACACAATGAACATGTTCTAAAACATTTTAAAATAAAAAAATATGTCAAAAACGTCAGATACGCCTTTTTGGCACCAAACATTTCCAAGTCTTCTATGGACATATTGGGCGTATCTGCTAAACAATGCAGAAAATAATTGATCAAAAGGGGAATTGATTGAATAATTAACACTTGAATCACACTTGAACAAGTAATTATTTTTCATTTAACTCATTCATTATTATTTTTTTATATATTTTTTTTCACCTTTCCATTCTGGGCATCTGCTGAACACTACAGACTGTAATTAAAGTCACTGAACTTGCTAAACACACTTCTGATTGGCAATTCATGAGTTGTTCAATTGATTTCATTACAATTCTTTTTTTTTCAATACTCTATTCAATTGACAGTTCTCTCGTGTTCTTTTTGCTTTTTAGTTCTTTTCCCTCACCTTCCTTCCTGGAACATGAATGCCATGTGAATTAATGTAGCCTTGGCCAGAATTTCTTAACCTTTTACGTTGGTTTCTTTTCCAATTTTCAACATCTCTCTGTCTTTTTCTTCCTTTTTGTGGTGTGTTGGCATCCTCTTCCTCCCTCCTAAACAGGCTCAATGTCTACTGTCTCAGTCCCTCGATCTTCTTCTGTCTCCATGTGTCCCTCATCAATTGCATGATCTGTGTCCCTGCCTGTCTCTCTTTCCCCATCTTCTGCTGTCTACATGTGTCCCTCATCTCTCTCCCTCATCTCATGCTGTGTCCCTAAATTATATAATTAAAATGTATTAATATCCTACATGAATGCCCTGATACTAATAATTCGGGGTAAGGATTAGATAAGGTAATGTTCTAACTGATTTTCTATGCAAGTCAGAACTCACTTCCTCCATCTGTCTCCATGTGTCCCTCAAGTTGATCTCTCTTCCTCACCTCATGTGGCTGTGTCCTTTAATGATTAACACATTAATATTTATTAATATAATATCCTACATGAGTGCCCTGAATCTATTAGTTCAAGGCTAGGGTAAAGTAGATTATGAGAAAGTTCAAAAGAATATTCTCTGTCAGAACACAGGCACAGTTAGCCAGATCAGACCAAACCAATGGGATTAACGTTAGCCATGCTAGGCTAGGCTAACAAGGTAAGGCTCTCAAGGCATGATTATGTCTTACTGTCATCACTCTTGTGAGAAAATGCATTCAAACAACTCTGACTCATCTTCAACTTCTTCAATATACACTCACCTAAAGGATTATTAGGAACACCATCCTAATACTGTATTTGACCCCCTTTCGCCTTCAGAACTGCCTTAATTCTACGTGGCATTGATTCAACATGGTGCTGAAAGCATTCTTTAGAAATGTTGGCCCATATTGATAGGATAGCATCTTGCAGTTGATGGAGATTTGTGGGATGCACATCCAGGGCACGAAGCTCCCGTTCCACCACATCCCAAAGATGCTCTATTGGAGATCTGGTGACTGTGGGGGCCATTTTAGTACAGTGAACTCATTGTCATGTTCAAGAAACTAATTTGAAATGATTCGAGCTTTGTGACATGGTGCATTATCCTGCTGGAAGTAGCCATCAGAGGATGGGTACATGGTGGCCATAAAGGGATGGACATGGTCAGAAACAATGCTCAGGTAGGCCGTGACATTTAAACGATGCCCAATTGGCACTAAGGGGCCTAAAGTGTGCCAAGAAAACATCCCCCACACCATTACACCACCACCACCAGCCTGCACAGTGGTAACAAGGCATGATGGATCCATGTTCTCATTCTGTTTACGCCAAATTCTGACTCTACAATCTGAATGTCTCAACAGAAATCGAGACTCATCAGACCAGGCAACATTTTTCCAGTCTTCAACTGTCCAATTTTGGTGAGCTCTTGCAAATTGTAGCCTCTTTTTCCTATTTGTAGTGGAGATGAGTGGTACCCGGTGGGGTCTTCTGCTAGCCCATCCGCCTCAAGGTTGTGCGTGTTGTGGCTTCACAAATGCTTTGCTGCATACCTCGGTTGTAACAAGTGGTTATTTCAGTCAAAGTTGCTCTTCTATCAGCTTGAATCAGTCGGCCCATTCTCCTCTGACCTCTAGCATCAACAAGGCATTTTCGCCCACAGGACTGCCGCATACTGGATGCTTTTTCCCTTTTCACACCATTCTTTGTAAACCCTAGAAATGGTTGTGCGTGAAAATCCCAGTTACTGAGCAGATTGTGAAATACTCAGACCGGCCCGTCTGGCACCAACAACCATGCCACGCTCAAAATTGCTTAAATCACCTTTCTTTCCCATTCTGACATTCAGTTTGGAGTTCAGGAGATTGTCTTGACCAGGACCACACCCCTAAATGCATTGAAGCAACTGCCATGTAATTGGTTGATTAGATAATTGCATTAATGAGAAATTGAACAGGTGTTCCTAATAATCCTTTAGGTGAGTGTAGGATTCATCAGTTTGTTTCATAATATTCATCAAACTCGTTTCTGCCTCAGACAGTTCCATGTCTGCAGTTGTGTCAGCCATTTTGAATGCAGTTTTAGGGCACCAACTACACTTACGCCCTTCTGGCTCTGAACAAAAATATGGGTCCTACATGTATTTTTCAGAGCCAGAAGGGCGTAAGTGGACTTACGCCCTTCTGGCTCCAAACATTACTCACACTTTTGTGTTAGGTCTGTATTGTTTTGTTGCTTTATTCAATACAGTTTGATCTCAGATAGGTCTTTTTGGCACAACTAGATAGAGCTCATCAAGACCTTTAATTTGATATATAGAACTCATTTTCGCCCAAAATGCCACTTACGCCCCTCTGGTTCCAAGCCCTCGAATAGAGATTCAGAAATCTCACCTCACTCCATTGATAGTTTAGCAGCATCCCTCCACCGCCCCTTCTCCACACTTCTAGTCCTAAACACTTACATAGGGGGAGTACTCTGGGTTTGGGCCAAACTCCGAGCTTCGGAGCCCTCCCCCCGGACAGCACGCCAAATACGCATTAAACCTTACCCACTCTAATTGTATGTAAGTGTGAACTCGTGAAAGTATGGCAACTAATAGCCAGGATGGATCAGCCAGATGTAGTAGAGCTCAGGTGGAAGACCAACATTCAGATTGTCATAATTTGATTGTGACCTGCTTGGGTTTTCGGTATATGCATTATCATTGTTTTTATCCAGCATGAAACAAAACTACAGGTTCAATGCCTGACTGTTTATTTATATGTGAAATACTGATCATCTTGTGAACTTCTGTAAAATCTGAGTTATAGGAAACGGATACTGAGCACGCTTTATCGACTTGTGTGACTAGTGACTTGTTCTAGATTTCACTGTTGACATTAGTGGCCTCTGAAAGCTTGTATAAATCAGGATTCAGATAAACTGAAGACAAAGTACACCCCCAGAGGAATTCCTTAACCCAAACTTTGGACATTCATGAGCACTGCTGAAGTCATTGTTTTTTGCAAACATCCATGAGGACTATATAGTCATCATATTTTAGTACATTACCGGCAATGTTTCCATGTGGTTTCCTCAAAGCCACTCTTATTTTATTTCCGCTATTTTATTACATTATTATTTTTCACTGCCGATTGTGAAAGTTAATCTGCGTGAAAAGTTTTTAACAGTAATCTGTCATTTCCTTTAATGTCAAAAAAGGCACATGGGACGGCAACTCAGTGGCTCAAGACAGATTACAGGTCTTTAGCTTTTTCTCTGTCCTTCCCCCAGATGTTACAGCTGTAATAGGTGAGGCTGAGCACGACCTGCAGGGTGATAGGTCCAAACTGGAGAGCTGTGGTCATCATTTTTGTAAAAATATCCAACATCCTTATTTTTATGAAAGGGGAACACAAGTTCCTCTTTCACGGAGCACGTAAAAATCCTCTACACTGAATGACATGCACACTTCACCTGGATAAAGGCCTGATATGCAGTGTTGCCATGGACAACGGTAAATACTAGGTAGCAGGCTCGTTTGAGATGCCAAACACCTCTTCTTGAATGTAGACAAGGATAGCATGCTGATGCTATACATACTTGCAGTCAAGGGGACGAGTGAAAAAACTGTCAAGTCGGACAACTCTCCCTTCTCGTAGTCCAGAGATCTATGGAATAAAAAAACATGTTCTTTGTTGCCAAAAAAAGCATAGGCTACTGTATGTTTTTAAGTACTGCTGCTTTTACATGAAGAACGATTTAAAGTAATCATATTTGTCTATAATTAAATTCCACAAAAACAATGGGGAGGTGGGATGCTGGAGAAATGTCATCAGAGAGAGGCTATATTCCCTTGAAACATGATTGACGGAATTAGATGAACGAACTCCTCCAGAACTTACATTATGAACTTTATAAAGAATGTGTAATATAATATGATTAAAATCACATCACATTGTCAGAGTGAAGAGAGAAAAGGGAAAAGAGAAATGAAAAGAGAAAAGATCAATTTTAACAAGAATAAAACGTTATGGTTGTTTTTTTTATTTCAATCAGTGCTTTATTTAATGACATAACTCACACAACAAAATCATGATTGCTCTAGCCTCTCGTAGCCAGACCTTCAGACTGACGGCAGAAGCTCTGGACTCCATACTGTATTGCATGTGAAAAGACGGATACAGCTTGAGCAGACTCACAAATGTGCTTTAACAACTCTGCCTCCTCTCAACATGGACGGCGTGTTCCCGGGGGTGGGCTTTATGTAAATTTCAAGGTTAGTGATGTCACCAACCCGTGAGGAATGTCGTGTAGTCCTTGTTGTAGTCCTTAAAAAAACAGTTTCTTTAAAAGCAATTATCTTCCTTTGCTTTGAACTTTGAGCGTTGTAACTTTGCAGATTTTGTTTATGCTCAAACAGCAACATTACACACTAACTAAAGTTAGAAAAGTGAAATCATAATCAACCACCCCTTTAATTATATTATTATGATGATTTAATGTCAAGATGATTGTTAACATGAATTTATCACATCTCCAAGTATATTTTTAGAATAATTATTTTGGTAAGAACAAATTAAGAGAGGCTATTAGAGAGATATGTGATTAATATGTTATGTTCATTAGAACAATGTGTTAATGCTTATCAGAACATGGACAGCAGATTGTTACAAATGTTGATGTATACAGTATGTACACATCATGTATAAGTCACAGTTAAAAGGAACTTTCACTGTTGATGCTGTTCTGCTTTAAAGTTTTATGATTTGTCATAACCTGCTTCATTAGCCTAATCAATGGGTTTAACCACTCTTAGAGCTCAGTTTGCACTAATAATTTATCATAACCTTTGTCCATGAGGAAACGGATCTGCAGCCTACTCCATTGTATTTGTGCTGATGATAAATAGCAAAAAGCTTGGTAGCCTATATATACCATCCTTAATTTTTTTCAAATTGCAGGCTACAGCATATTTATATGCATTATACGCTTCATTGTTTTTTTGTGGCTCCAATAAACTGTGGCCTATTTGTTTAAAAGAGAAAACTTCGCTATTGATAATTCCTATACATTATACTACATTTTATAGGCCTACTTACTTTTATTCATCATATATTATCAGTAAGAACTGTTTTCTTTTACTGTTTTGTTTATTATCTCATATTAATAGGGTGTCAATGTGTTGTTGTTTTTATTTACCACGAAAAATAAGTCGTATAAGAATGCTAAAATAGAAAGAAATGGAAGAAATAGCTAAAGCCAAGCAAAGTGCGCTTTAACTGTAATACCTGTTCAGAGGAGCTCCACTAGGGGGCGCGCCAGCTGCAGCTCCCGCCTCCGCCCCGGATGACAGCGCTGTCCACGGCGCGCGCGTCCTTCCGGTTATGGGATGAAACGCCTTGGTGCTCAGTTCAGGTGCAGTGTTTTTGTTTCTTTGAACCTATTGAGTGTGTTTCAACTACCTCAGGGTGACGGCATGCGATTTCAAGGTTGATTTAATTTAATTGTATATGCCTTTCTTTGCCTCTATCTCGTGTCATTCAAACCTGCCAGTAGCATGACTAACGGGTTATCAACACAGCTGACATGACGGTACGTCTTGATGAATTATGATTAATACTGCTTACTCTGATGCTTGATATCTGAACAAGTTTGTCACTAAAACGGTGTTGGAAAGCCAAAATTCCCATTAAAAGCCGCCTTTAACGCCACTGTAGCTTAAACTTTAAACTGGAAAGCATTCACCAGGACAAATTAGTTTTCAGGTTACTGCCTTCTTTTGATATAACGTTACTTCTTTGACTAGCACATACAGTATATGCAGGAACAAGCAAAGGCAATGAAGCTATGATAATGATAATTAGTTTTAAAACGCAAATCGTGCTCAGATTATCACAGGTGTGCTGGTTACTTCTAGCCTTTCGTCTAACAGGAGTGAAGCTGGTCTGGTTGCCATGGAAACGGAGACTGAGAACCAATCAGTGTTTGTGGACCTTGACTTTCCAGCTGATGATTCCTCAGTCTTCTGTGATTACACCACGCCTCTCTCCAAATTGTTGGGTGATGTCACATGGCTCCGCCCACAGGTAACGTGTCACTCTTTCACACACACACACACACACACACACAGTCACTCTTTCACACCCGTGATATTATATAGCAAACAGACGCATTTCCAATGAGCACAGAATGAAGACTTTCTTTAAGAACTGATTTTCATTTGGGTTGGCGTTTATCACTATTTTAAAAACTCATTGACATCAAAATGAAAGTTTTGTGGCTTTTAGTGGGTTAGCTTTAAGACTTACAAACAATAGGTATACTTCAAGTTTATTTTATTTAGTATACTTAAGTAAAGTTCAAGTATACTTTATGTAGATAAAGTATACTTAATTATACTTTTAAGTATATCTCAATCAGAAGATTGAGTACAAGTATAGGCCAAATATACTTAAACCTTTCTGTCAGTAAGTCAAATATACTTTTAAAAAAGTACAATTTTAAGTATATTTTCTGAGAAGTACATAAAGTAGACTGAAAGTATTATTTCTTATTTTTAGTTTAAAAGAAGTAAACTAATAGCACACTTGAATAAACTTATTTTTCATCAGGGTACTGTGATATAGTACTCCTAAATATTGACAAAATTAAATTTTGCCTATACGGTATCAGATTGCTTATGCATTTAAAAAAGAAGGAAGATGAGCCCTTCGATATGTCCCAAATATTTTATTTTAATAGGAAATACTGCATATGGCAAAAATACTGCACTCGTTAAGTGAATTCACTGGGTCTATAACAATACAAACTGTCTGAAACTGGCTTTCTTTGCATATTTCCCAGGAAATCTGCAAGCAGCCTCAACTCTTCCCTGATGACCCTGTGCAGGCCCACCCAAAGCAAGGCATTCTGGGAGACTGCTGGTTGCTCTGTGCCTGCTCCATGTTACTCAAGAACCAGCATCTTCTGAACAAGGTGAACACTGTCAGGGGTCTGAGGTGTTTTCGGGGTCCTTGAGATGTTTTGGCATGCTCTGACATTTGTGCTTTTTTCAGTTGCTTATAAACATATTAATGGCACAGGTGAAATTACACTCTATATAGCACACACAGGGCTACCATAATATGTGAACAACATGTTAATACATGTTTGTATTTTTGAGAGAATATTGTTTATGCGTGGTTATTGAAAAAACTAAAAACTAAAGTTTCTAATATAAGGCCACAAATAACATACTAAATATCTGTCCACAAGACTTTTGACTAGTGGATGTTGTCGCCTAGAGTTTTTGCTTCGAATTGATCTGAAAATCATTCTGTCTAATCATTCACATAAAACAATAGATTGTTTTAAATTGTGAAAAACATTTTTTTGTTTGCAAAGGCAATATGCGGATGGGCGGAACGGCCCAACCCCCTCATGAATAATTAGGCAGTTCTCACCTGAGCAGACTGCATACTAATGAGCCTTTCATTCAGGGGTGTCACACAAGAAAGAATGCAAGGACAATATATATATATATATATAAATAAATAAATAAATATTTATACACACACACACACACACATATATATATATATACACTACCGTTCAAAAGTTTGGGGTCAGTGAGAATTTTATTTTTATTTTTTGGAGGAAAGAAATCAATACTTTTATTTATCAAGGAATAATTCATTTGATCGAAAGTGACAGTAAAGACATTTATAATGTTACAAAAGATTCTAAACCTAACCCTATTCATCAAAGAATCCTAAAAAAAAAAAAAAAAAAAAACTGTACAACTGACAGACCAACAACTGTTTCAACATTGATAATAATAATAAATGTTTCTTGAGCATCAAATCCTCATATTATACTGATTTGTGAAGGATTATTTGACACTGAAGACACTGACACTGGTGATGCTGAAAATTCAGCTTTGATCACAGGAATAAATTACACTTTACTATATATTCACACAGAAAACAGCTGATTTACACTGGAATAATATTTAATACTATAACTGATTTTTGTTGTATTTTTAATCAAATAAGCGCAGCCATGGTTAGCAGAAGATAATTCTTTTAAAAGTATTTAAAATCGTACCGACCCCAAACTTTTGAACGGTAGTGTATATATATACAAACAATCAAAATATAAATGAAAGCCAAAAGCACATTTTTAGTCACACCTTTTAGCCATCCACATCCCATTTTTAGCCATCCACCGCGGTAAAAATAAACCAGTCGCATTTCAAAGTCGTTCGCGAAACGACCGCCAGGTGGCGCAAAGGGACATTTAGCAAAACGTAAGTGGGGCTAATGTCTGTAGCCTAAAGGCCTGTTCACACCGGGACGAATTTCGCGCGCGTTATTCGCCGACGTTTAACGCCTCGTGACTAAACAAAGGGCGCCAATGTGAGTGTTCACACCAACGCGTAAAACGCCACGCGTAAAAGCGTCATTTTTTTAAAAACGCCTCGGGTTCGTTTTTTTGGTTTGACGCGCCGCGTCAAAAACTATCCGACCAATGAGATTGGCGCTTTTGCTCACGTGTCTGGAGCTTCTGAAGTTACAGTAAAACACAACTTGGGGGCGCTCAAACACAAAACGGTCTTGCCGAGCACACATACGTAACGGCGAAGAAGATATACAGCGTCTACACTCTGCCGGGAAGAAATAAGACGAGGAAGATGTAAGGCTAGATGAGTAGAGCTGCTGGTCTTGTTGGTGTCTTTATAAAGAGACACCAACGACAATAAAGAACCATATAACAAACGCGACAAACTTGCTCTCTTCTTCTGAGTGACAAGCGAGTGTCAGAAGCGTAGTTGCGCAGCGCCACTTTGTGGACCGGGGTATTTCTGTTTTACATTAAGCGCCATCTAATGTCAGGGAATGAATTTGCGTGTTCACTCGGCTCATCGTCAGCGAAAATCGCTTGGGTGTGAACACAAAAAACGCGTTGAAAAACGCTGACGAATAACGCGAGCCGATATTCGTCCCGGTGTGTACAGGCCTTAAGGATGAAATACTACAAGTTATGGTAATTTCCAAATAAGCCTACAACAAACATTTTTAGCCTACTCCGTAATTGTTGGTCATACAGATAAGATATAATCTTTTAAAACTGTAAAAGGCTAAAGTATAGGCCTACACTCACAGGCTAAATGAAAAAATCGCTCATGTGAGAAACAGACGTTTGGGTATTTCTCAGTGAGAAAATTCATAGCTGAGCGGTAGAACTTAGGGTTCATCATCAAGATGACACGGCTTCAAATCCCGCACAAACATGGTCTGCTATAAATTTTATATTTATTTAGATTTGTCTAGCTCTAAAACTCTGTTACACCATACAGTTTTTTTTTTGCTTATATTTATAAAATACAATTATCATGCATTTCCATTTTACACTAAGGAACAAAATAGTATCCAACAGAACGACTTTGCATCTGTATAATAATAGGCTACCAATCGTAATTTCAAAAGCAGTTCTGTAAAAAAATTAATTATATATAGCCTATATATATATATATATATATATATATATATATATATATATATATATATATATATATATATATATTTTTTTTTTTTTTTCAGGGCTGCCAACTCTCACGCATTGAGCGTGAGAGTAGGCTACTCACGCAATTGACCCAAATCTCACGCTCTCACGCCACACCCCCGATTTCTCACGCTGAAGTGTCAACCCGGTCGGTCAAATTCCTAAAAGATATAGTTTATCTATAGATCTACCTGTTGAGCCACTCGTGATCGACTAGTTATACCGCAAATTAGTTAAAATATCCCGTAATCTATCTAGAGCGAGCGTGCATGCGAGACAGATATTGTGCTCCAAACCATGCGCGCGCATGGCAGAGAGGTCTGTTCCCTACAACCTAGAGTTTTTTAAAAACATGGTTTTAAGTAAAGTGTGATTTGCCAGGGGGGACTAGGATTTCCTTCTGGTCTAAACATCCCTGCTTCTGCTGAATTATTTTAATCCCCCCCGTAATTTTTTGGTCATACAGATAAGAGTAGAGTAGCTTACATCGTTCAAAACTGTAAACTTGTATTCATATAGGCTAACGACAAAAACAGTATATCTGTCGTCTCTGTCTCCGGGAACTGCGGGTCACAAAAAATGAACCGAAAGCCACTTCAGCTCAGTCACGATAAGAAATCGGCTATGTCTAAAGCCTTTAAATGTCTAAATATTTAGGCTAATAAATGTTATCTGATTATGTAGGCTAATCCATATGAAAACGAGAGGTACAGAGAATCTACTCAAACATGCAATGTAAGCGCTTCCCAATGAGAAAATGACAAGACAAGGGTGAAAATCTCACTCTATGTAGGCTAAATCGCCCTGAATTAAAATGTAAAAACAGATCAAATAATGTATTTGTCGAAATGTTGCGATATTGTTTCATTTAAGTTCATAATTATTCTATAAATGTTATTTAATTTAGCAGCATTACCACGAAGCACCGTGTTTCGATATTTATTTGAATAATACAAAATAAAATAAAAACTTAATTCACAAATTGCATGCCTTGTAAGGATCCAAAGATCCCTGTAGAATTTAATATTGAGTTGAACATTTTGTTCATGACAACAAATTAACATGCGATTTTTCAGATTATATTTAGTTTTGCTTGGAAAAAGCTGGCCCAAACCAGTTTTATTTCATCAATTATTGAAATAATGAAATATTTAGTAATAAACTTTTATGACAGAAATATCACTAGGCTACATGTAACTTAAATCATTTAATTCCTTCATTATCAACACTGTCTAGAATAGCGATTTAAGTGTGAATTGCGACTTCTCTTTGTGACTTCTCAGCCTCAGACTCCGATAGCCTGTGGGGGGTTGGAGGGACAGTTGCTGGACAAAGGTGTTAATGTTCCTCTTTCATATGGAGAGTGTCGGATAGCCAGCCTGATGAGCAGGCAAAATTATTGTAAGGATAAATCTGTGTCCAAATGTAGACCCCATATCTTATTAAATTATAAATATTGTAGTTTATTTATTGTAACCTATTTAAAGTTTTTTTCACACAAAATTTCAATTGAAGTTATTGTAAGGTGAATTCAACAAGGCAAGCTGTGTCTTTGAAGCAACAATTAAAGGTTAAATAATTTTTTCGTGATTTGTATGGCTGACACGCAGCGACATATACAGTATTATCAGCTGTATGATGTGTTTTTACCCTGAAATGTTTAATTTCGAGAGAGAGACCCGGCGCGCGCAGCGAGGGAGACTAAATAAACTTGTTAAAAAGAGATCCAGCGCGAGAGAGGCAAAGAGAAACGCATGTTTTTAATTTAATTATGTTTCTTTGGACAATTTTCGTTTTGTAGGCCTACTGTTTTAATTGTTTAATTTAGCTGTAATTTCTTTGGCAATACAAATTTAAAATGTCGCAAGAATAAGATTAGCCTAGTGTTTCTTATTTTGCATCGCAAAAGAAATAAACTCTAAACCCGATGTAACCCTGTTTTAAATTAAAAAATGTAAACCTTGAAATGTTCGAACTTGGTTTCAAACTTAAGTAATTTTAGTGTTCTTTTACATTACACAATAATTTAGCAGACAAAAAAGACGAGCTTCTTCATTTTCAATTTCTGATGCAATCGGCTGACAATCTTCCTTCATCAGTTTTTGTCGTTTGTGCAGCGGCTGCGGTTCTACAGGAATGTAGCAAATTTATGTTGTAATGATAATCAAACAAAACTCTTGACTTTAAATAAGTAAACAGATATAAACAGTTACCTATTTAAGCATCAAGGTGGGAAAATATAAACGCTGTAGGACAACATCGGTTAACAACATGTATGCTACATTGAGATTCGATCTCGGGTCGATTGAAGCTCCTCGAAGCTCGTGTCGTTGCGTTGATCACTGAGCTACCGTCTGTACGCTGATAAAGTTGTAAAGCCTCATTCATGTAGCCTAAATGTTTTTATTGCAATGTTTTATGTTGAAATGTTTTCATTATTTATTCAATTACATTTCAGTATTGTGATTATGAATTATTTTAACTACGTTTCACTTGTTGAATTCTTCTGCTACCAGCTTTCAATTGCTCTGAATCAGCGCGGTGCGGCAGCAGATTACGCATTAAGGCCAATTTATACTTCTGCGTCGAGTGTACGCCGTAGTGTACGGCGTAGGCTACGCACGTAGGCGACGCCGTCATGAGCATTTATACTTCTGCGTTTAGGTCTGCGTTGCTCTGCAGTACAGCGCCGAAACGCTAGTTGGCGGCGGAGGGTTTTAATGTTCCACTGTGTTTAGATTCCTCGCGGCAAGAAGAAGAAGATTCCTCGCGGCTGTTTTGAGTTTAGGTTACTACAAGCAATGGCGACTGAAAGAGAGCAGATCATGTTGGAGTTGGAGCTTATTGAGGTGGAAAAGGTAAATTTTTAGTTTTTTTAACAGTTTCGCTGTACTTAGAATTTAAAAATGGCGGGCGGTGCAGAAGAACACGCCGGAAATGCATAGGAGGAAACGCGATGCTACCAAGCCGACCAATCACAGATCTTGCGGTCCGCGTCGTCGCGACGTGTAGTTACATTTTTGAGGAGGTGCGCGTCAGGTTACGGCGAAGGGTACGGCGTATGGTACGCGTCTGTGCGTAGGGAAAAATGAGCTGGGGAAAAAAATACTGACAACACTCTCTTTTCATACAGATTGCATAAACTGAGAATATTTGTTTTTTATATAAATTACTTCATCAAGAAACTTTGCTGCCGTACCATGTCTGCAGCAGGCCCAATGATATAACGCAGTGCCTGAAAATAGTCCCCAGCTAGGTTACTTCCTGTGTGACCATATAAGTTTGTGTTTGCGCTGCATAATATCATTGCGCCTGCTGCACTCATGGTACGGCAGCAAAGTTTCTTGATTATTACGCAGGAATGAGAGAATAGTTCCTAGCCATATCAGCCTAGAAAATCGCAACTTTACATTTCCCGTCGGTCTTAGTGCACGATGTAACTACAGAAGAGTCAAGTTTTAAATAGGAAAAATATCGAAACTCTTTAGTCATTTTTTTGAGAGAGATGCTAATGGTCTTGTCCACTTCAATGATCTATCCTAAGCTATGCTAAAAGTGGTACCGTCAGACCCGGAGATCGGCTGAATGGATTCGAAAACGGTAAAACTCAACAGTTTAACTCTGGGGGAGTTGTAAAATGAGCCTATTTCCAAAAAAAGTGGAGTATCCCTTTAAGAAAAACTACATTACACCGCGTCTACATCAAACGCGTGTGATGCGTCAAAATCGAATAGTGGTCGGCAAATTCCAGACAGTAATCTGATGCCCCGTTCTATTTCTGACGTACTTCAAGGGCTCGTGCTACTTCTGACATGAGGAACAAATGTGTTTGCACGATCGCTTTGACATGTCCAGTGTAGACACGGTGAATCAGAGAATCACGACAAGCAAATCACACCAAAAGATCCGCCCACTCCCATGAAGCACTGTGAATAATGTAATGGAGTCTTTATACAAATATTTTTGTGTGTGTGTGTGTATATATATATATATATATATATATATATATATATATGGATATTGTGCATTAAACATAACTATATTGCTTTTTTATATTATCAACATCTTTAAATCGATAGTTTTATATTTATCCATCATTTATGCAATTATGTAATTTTCTTCACACATTTTCCAATTCTAAAACATTATGACAACACTGCTGAGGGTTGTTTCTTTCACAATTTCATCCACAAATTTCAACTGAATGTGCTCTAGGTGTATTTTAATGTGTGTTTGTGTTTGTTATCAGGTATTTCCACCGGAACAGCCTTTGTGGGGCGACTGTGCATATCACGGTGAGTTCCGGTTTCGATTCTGGCGGAACGGGGACTGGATAGAGGTACGGGTGGATGACCGGCTGCCCTGTATCAATGACACTCTCTGCTTCTCACGATGCCAGAGCCCTAGGGCATTCTGGGTAGCACTTTTGGAGAAAGCATATGCCAAGTATGTGCTGGTACAAAGATGTCTGAAGTATAAAATATAATTTTGATTTGATGTTTGAACTAAGACCAGATCATAATAATTGAAGTGTTGGCAACTGTTGTTCATACTAGGCTACATGGTTCATATGAGCGTTTGTGGGCAGGCCAAGTATGTGAGGCAGTGGTGGACCTGAGCGGAACCATTGTGGTACGATGGAGTCTAAAAGGGGCGGAGTCATCACCACAGTCCAACGACACCCAGATTCAACACACCGCTAACGGGACGAGTCTATCTCAACTCTCGCTGGAGCTGAAGGAGCGATGTGCCATCAGCTGCTGTGTTCACAGTGCCTCCATGGGTGAGAGAGAAAAGTAACCACTGAATTTGAATTTAATTGAGCTGGATATTGACACTAACTTGCAACTGACAGTTATTGAACCGACCTGAAACAACATTGAACTAAATTGAGCTGAATAATGATGCTATTGCCTTCTGTAGAAATTCATTGCAACTGAAATTTAATTAATTTAATAAATGATTAATTTGTATGTATGTATGTGTGTGTATATACACTCACCGGCCACTTTATTAGGTACCCCATGCTAGTAACGGGTTGGACCCCCTTTTGCCTTCAGAACTGCCTCAATTCTTCGTGGCATAGATTCAACAAGGTGCTGGAAGCATTCCTCAGGGAGTTTGGTCCATATTGACATGATGGCATCACACAGTTGCCGCAGATTTGTCGGCTGCACATCCATGATGCGAATCTCCCGTTCCACCACATCCCAAAGATGCTCTATTGGGTTGAGATCTGGTGACTGTGGAGGCCATTTTAGTACAGTGAACTCATTGTCATGTTCAAGAAACCAATTTGAAATGATTAGAGCTTTGTGACATGGTGGAAGTAGCCATCAGAGGATGGGTACATGGTGGCCATAAAGGGATGGACATGGTCAGAAACAATGCTCAGGTAGGCCGTGCCATTTAAACGATGCCCAATTGGCACTAAGGGGCCTAAAGTGTGCCAGGAAAACATCCCCCACACCATTACACCACCACCACCAGCCTGCACAGTGGTAACAAGGCATGATGGTTCCATGTTCTCATTCTGTTTACGCCAAATTCTGACTCTAACATCTGAATGTCTCAACAGAAATCGAGACTCATCAGACCAGGCAACATTTTTCCAGTCTTCAACTGTTCAATTTTGGGGAGCTCTTGCAAATTGTAGCCTCTTTTTCCTATTTGTAGTGGAGATGAGTGGTACCCGGTGGAGTCTTCTGCTGTTGTAGCCCATCCGCCTCAAGGTTGTGCGTGTTGTGGCTTCACAAATGCTTTGCTGCATACCTCGGTTGTAACGAGTGGTTATTTCAGTCACTGTTGCCCTTCTATCAGCTCGAACCAGTCTGGCCATTCTCCTCTGACCTCTGGCATCAACAAGGCATTTCCGCCCACAGAACTGCCGCTCACTGGATGTTTTTTCTTTTTCGGACCATTCTCTGTAAACCCTAGAGATGGTTGTGCGTGAAAATCCCAGTAGATTAGCAGTTTCTGAAATACTCAGACCAGCCCTTCTGGCACCAACAATCATGCCACGTTCAAAGTCACTCAAATCACCTTTCTTCCCCATACTGATGCTCGGTTTGAACTGCAGGAGATTGTCTTGACCATGTCTACATGCCTAAATGCACTGAGTTGCCGCCATGTGATTGGCTGCTTAGAAATTAAGTGTTAACGAGCAGTTGGACAGGTGTACCTAATAAAGTGGCCGGTGAGTGTATATATATATATTATATTGATGAATTTTGCAACATTAACACTGTAATTTTCCTGTTTATTATCGTGAAACTACTTTGATATAAATTATATTATGTGCTTTGATATGCACTATATAAATAAATGTGACTTTACGTGACAAACAACAAGTAACTGTTGTTTGACACTGCCAGACAGTGTTGTAATATTACTGTAATATGGAATTATAGTATTTAAAAATATTTTATTTTTATATTTTCAGTTTTCATTTTAATGTTAGTTTAAGTTTTAGTAATTTTGCTGTGTGTTTTTGTCATTTTTCTTAATTGTTGTTCATTTAAAAATAAAATTCTTCGATTTTAGTAATTCAAATTAAGCTTATTTTATTTCAGTTAGTTGCCAAGGCAACATTTCTATTTTTTTAAAATAGTTTATTTTAATTCAGTTAATGTTTATTTTATTAACAAAACTGTTTTTAATAGTCTTAGTTACCGATTACAACACTATTTGGGAGTGATTGTAGACTATAGCAGCAATAGTTAATAGTTAACAGATTTTACAATGTTCCTATTCATACCTTGAATTTTTTGCTGCCAATTTTACAATTGGCAGAAAATCTTTCACAAAATACCACAGGAAATATTTAGAGGAAGGTGCTTCTTCCTTATAGAAGGTTTTCACATAATTTTTTTTGATAGCATGCCTCGCTGTTTTTCAATGAGAAAAGAGGTGAGAAATATTGCAGTATTCGTTTATGCAATAACAATGAGAAAAGTGATCTGCGAGCCAGGTACATTATAAGGTGTATTAAAAGGAGGTATAATGTACATGAGCCTCATTTTGCCCAGTTCAGTCAGGTATGATGTACTGTATTAGCTCTAGTAATGGGTTTGTTCTCTCTCTCTCTCTGCAGGTGTCCCAGAGCTTGGCCAGTTCCATGCCATGAGTGTGGTGGAGTGGACAAATGTGACAACGACTACAGGCGAACAAGTGGAGCTGATCAGGATAAGAAACCCCTGGGGGAGGAGGAGCTGGGCCGGGGTGTGGAGGGAGAGGTGTGGAGGGAAAAAATGCTGAATGATCACATACTAGTCCATTTTCACATTTATTTTGTGTGTTAAATACCTTATTTTCCATATGCGTTATAAATAGATTTGTTATTAGAATTGTAAATATCTGTGTGGATTGATTTAACATACTTAACTAACATGATAATAAGATTCTTCTCAGAAATTTGCATCTATTTTACTTTTATTAGTAACTGCAGTGCTGTTTGTATCTCCGACAACTGACAGGCCGAAAGTCATTGATTTCCAATGGAGAGCAGTTCTGATCATATGTATATGTAGATTTTTAAGATCCTATTTGAACTTCGGATGCATTGAACTATTTAAACTTTTGTGATTAGACTGAATGCAACCTGACCTTATCAAAACTATGATATTATTGAAGAACAAAGCGAGAATTAACAATATTTTTCCACTAAAATGTAATTTTTTTAAACACTATTTCTTTAAAATTAGTGGTTAATGAATAATTATGTCTGAAATAATTATTTTAGAGTTGTTAAATTATATAAAGTATTTACTTAGATTGTCTCTAGAAAACCTACTAGGTTTTTCTTTCAAACATATTGGTGGTCATTTGTTTGGAACAATCATACACATATGTTGGCGATAGTGGAAAGGCTGCTTCTGTCTGACTGGTTCTGTCGGTCTCTCTCGACAGCGGATCAGGATGGGCTTCTCTGGAGGCCTCCTGCGCTCAGGCTTTACTGCGCCGCACAGCAGAGGGAGAATTCTGGATGGACGTGACAGAATTCCAGCAGGAATTTGACGAGGTCACGGTGGGCTATCCCATCAGTGTTGCTGGACACCTCCAAAGCATCTACACAGGTATTGGCTATACGTTCTTGTTGAGAGCATTTGCATCACCAGACCTTTGCTGTCTTATAAATGATATATCTAGTGATAATTTGAAGGTTTAAAAATAATAAAGGTATACATTTATTTAATATTTATATTAATGTGGTGGAACTATATTTCCTTTCATGTAGGAAGCTTTCTAACCCACAGCCACCAGACAAGAGGTCGCTGGGTTAAAGGTCACTCTGCAGGCGGTTGCCGCAACAACAGCACTTTTATCAGCAACCCTAAGTTCTGGTTGAAAGTGTGCGAGAGAGGAGAAGTGTTGCTGTCTTTGCTTCAGTACGGAATCCCTGAACCCGCAGCAGAGGGCGGCACTCATCCACACCTCCAGGCCATTGCACTACATGTGTGGAAGGTTAGAGAATCACAAAACAAACTTTTTTGAGTGCTTGAACATATTACATTATGTCATATGTGATATATAATATATTTTAGGTGGAGAAGAAACACTTTAACCTGGTGCGGACACTGAACAAGCCTCCGCTTGTGTCACACACACATGCGTATGATCGGGAAGTGGCTGTAGACACTCACCTGAATGCTGGTTTTTACCTGCTGGTGCCCAGTACCTTCCTGCAGGGAGTCGAGGGCCGCTTCCTCTTGAGAGTTCACTCTTCCTGCTCTACCTCTCTCAGGTCTCTGCTCAAAGACATACTTACTGTATTGAACTCCTTGTATAGTTCAAAAGTTTGGTGTCGGTAAGATTTTTTTATGTTTTAAAAGAAGTCTCTTATGGTCACAGAGGTTGCATTTTTTTCACCAGAAATGCTGTAAAAAGATATGAAGTATTATTGCATGTTATTAACACATGTTTTGTGTTTTCTATTTTAATTGACTATAGAATGTGATTTATTCCTGTGATGCGAAGCTGAATTACGCCAGTCTTCAGTGTCACATGATGCTTCAGAAATCATTCTAATATGCTGATTTGGTGTTTAAAGCTCCAGTCCGTAACTTTTTTAAGTTAAAAATAATCCAAAATAATTATATTAAAAAAAACTTATTCTGCCAGTGGTCAAAACTATCTGCTTGCCATAGCTAGATTCAAAACGGTTAGCTTGTAATAATGATTTTAATTCCAGTGGTACTGGTGGGTTTCCGCGGGAAATTCGAGCATGTCTTTGCGTCATGACGTCACACCCGTACACATAAAGAAGGAGTTTCGGCTAGCCGGCTATACTGCGCGTGACGAGATGTTTAGATGTATAGGCTTTTCTTGCAGCACTTTACATAATTAAACTTATGGCATCCAGAAAGATCCAAACAACAATCATCAGTGTCAACTGGAGATTCAGCAGTTATAAAACCCAAAAGACTTCGTACTTCGGATTTAAGGTGGCTAGAGAAAGAGAAAGAAACCGTCTCATGCGAACACAAGGATTTAAACATCGGCGGGGCTTTTGAAAAGTGCGTGAACTCCGTGTTTTGAAGGGGTTCAAAACAGAAGAAGAGACGGCTTTTTTCTGCTGAACAAGTAAGACATTTCAATAGTTCAATCGTGTAACAGTACGTTTTCTTAATTCACACAGTTATGGAGTTTCCTTTGTTGTGCCTTTCTCGTTTTGCTATTATGGAGAATATGAATTCTGAACTACGCAGAGAGCTGCTAACCATAAAACACATTACATTTAACATTAGTCACGCAATGCTGATGTTGTTAACATGAACAATTTGAGAACAAAGTAGGCTATAATTTGCACGGTTGCTGTAAATCGCGTTGATTAAATCTAACGAAGCTTATCATGTCGAATGCTTTTTCCCCTTTAGTTGGTCAGAACAAAAATGGATTTTACTTACTTGTTCAGAAGACATTTTCTTATGAAAATTCTTATGTTGGTCAAACTTTCAAAAAGTGAATCTGTGATTCTGTATGACAGTATCCACACAGCGCGGTGACTGACAGCAGCACTCGCCTCAAAGCACTGTGTTCATCCGCGCTGTTTCATGCCGATTTACAACCCACGTAAAGATAATAATTCCGCGAATCACTGCAGTTACAGATTTCGAACTGAGAGATGGCGACAAAGAGGAAAAGATACGGACTGCAGCTTTAAGAAACATTTCTTCTTATTATCAGTGTTGAAAACAGTTGTGCTGCATAGTGTTTAGTGGAAACAGTGGGGTTGTTTTTAGGATTCAATACAATATTCAAAAGAACAGCATTTATTTGAAACAGAAGTCTTTTGTAACAATATAAATGTCTTTACTGTCTCTTTTGATCAATTTAATGCATCCTTGCTGAATACAATTTTTAATTTCTTTTTTAAAAAAATCTTACAGACCCCAAACTTTTGAACAGTGCTGTGTAAATGTACTGTTTAATAACACCAATTATTAGTGGTCATATTCACACTGCATCTTCATATGCGATTTGATGCAATAACGCCATCTTATTGGTTTAAAATGTCTGTGTTTTTCTCTCCAGTGTGATGAAATCAGCTCCTCCTCCTCTTCAGCACTGTTCAGAGGGCGAGTGGGAAGCCATCAGCTCTCATGGCTCTTGGTCTGTTGGTTCTACTGCTGGAGGAAGTCGCAACTTCGCCACACATGGACACAACCCCCGTATACCCCTAACTGTGACCTATGACCCTGGAGGTAACAACGTAAGGGTCTCTCTTCACCAAAACAGGCCTGAAAATGCCCTTCATGCCATCGGATTTCATATTTATAAGGTCAGAAATTATTCATTTGTAATAATTCTCGAGGCATTTATTATATGACTAAACTGTTTAAAAGTTAAAGTGTTTATTGTGGTAAAAGTTTTCAGTTCTAATTATAATTGTTTTAGAAATTATATAGTAATTTAGTATTATTAAGGTGTAGGTGTCTAACATTCATTAGTTATTCCTTTTTTTTGATATGCCTTCATGACATTGTAATGTGTCCAGGTACCTGAGGGTGGTTCTGGCTCCCTGTTAACCCCTGGTTCCATGTGTCCTGTGGTTAGTTGTGTACCTCATGCCCACTCCCAGGAGCTCAGTGTGTTTTGCCATCTACACCCGGGCGAGTATGTCGTAATTCCCTCCACATACCAGCCGGAACTTAGCGCTCACTTCACGCTCACTCTTCTACGCAGGATACACCGGTAAGCGCTCTATAGTACAGAGCCTCAGCCTCTAAAGAGATTACGATTTTGGTGGAAAAATCGATGCTCTTCTTTCTTGAACACATCAAGAACGCAAAAGCCTTGAAATGTATTTTTTCTTCCCATCTCATATTTTTTCAAGCACCATGTCCCTTAAAGGTGCAGTAAGTGATTTCTGAGAAACACTGTTGATATTTTTTATGTTAAGAAATTGTTGCTGGTTGACATTGAGATATAAATCTTTGGCTCTGATTTAGTGAAGTACTGATGATGTCAACCTCCTCAGGAAAGCAATGCAGAGTGAAGAGCTTCTGGGCCATGCTGTGCAGGAGGTAACAATCGTTCAGCTCATTTAACACTCATGTTCAGATGACATTCAAGCCATGAGCTTTTACCTACTAGGGCTAGTGTAATACATCAATCTATATATAATGCATTAGCAATGATTTTGCAGAAGATCATCATAAATAACATTTATGAATGACAATTATTTTAAACTAGATTTACACTTATTTGTCTTACATAAAACATTTAGAATTTACTTGGAAACAATGGTTCCTCAATTTGAAAAAATAAATTAAACCCACTTTGGTTGAAACTTCACTTGAGATATAGATAAATTTTTTCATAAGTTTAATTGTAATGTATAAATATTATTGACATGTATTTATACATGTTTTTCCCCCAGCCTGCTAAATAACTACTTATTACCTTTATTGTGTGTACCGTTTCTGTAATTGACAGGTCTGTTTTTTGTTTTACTTCCACTGCTCTCCACAAGTAGTTTCATGAAAGCTAATGTACCATTAGTTTTGTAATATCCCTCTTCTCTCTTTCTCTTTCATCTCACAGGTCTCCTGTGTCTCTGTGATGAGATGACAGTCTGGGGAAGTGGATCAGATGCCCATGTTGAGATGAAATCTCACGAGAGGGTGTGTGGCATGAAGCCCGAGCATAGCCTCGTCCACTGGCCTGATCTCTAATGGGAGCCACTGGTGCACATCACTCACCTCAAACAACTACCAAAAGCCATCGGCAGTGGATAAATCATGGTATATAACATGTAGGCTATTGTCACAATGGTCGCAAGGATTCTTGGCCTATTAATATAGCATTCGCTGATGTGTGTGACGGCTTCGAATGTGGCCAGAATTTGTGTTGGAACGATACATTTTATAAAATTATTGTAATATCTTTTGTTTTACTGTGATGTACTTTAAATATGTACTGATACCAGATTTATTTATTGTGAATGATCACAGATTTATAATTAATGATCTTATCTTTAGGTTTTTGTCCAAAGCAAAGGTGAAAATAATCAAATTAGAAGTACCTTTTATTTTTGAGTGTTTCGTTTACTAGATTATCTAAAAACAGGCATTACCATGTGATTATTCAGTATAAACACTTTGTTGGATTTCCAGCTAAAATTTGTATTACTTGATATTTAAGGTACGGTAACTGTGATAGATTGATCAGAAAGAGAGAAAAGCAAAAAGAACCAGGGATCATTAGAAAAACAAGGATGCAGAGGATGAATAAATATGGGGGTATTATTGGCAAAAGAAGGGTAGACATTGATTGAATAAAGGGTGTGCGGCTCTACTGAAGCTCCAGCTCTCTCTGAAGTGTGCCGCAGAGTTGGAGCCCCTCACACAGGCGCTGCCCGTCGGCCTCTGTGAGCGCTAATTGTGTGTGTGTGTGTGAGTGAGAGAAGGTCTGCAGGCCTGTTAGTGCCGCACTATTGACGAACTAACGCTGTCACTGCCGCCTTGATCCAGCCCTTGGAGCCGCTGCACAATGATTTGCTATGTGACTCAAATACTGTTGTGACCCTTTCCTCCTCCTGTGCGTGTCTATTATATGTATAGAAATATTCATTAAATTATTTTGAATTTAAATACTTGAATCCTACTTTATTTGAATGCTTTGCAAATCATTCTTAAAACAAATATAATTATTTTGCTTGTATATAAATGAGATGTCTATACAACTTTCTTGTATAAACAACTCATTTTTTATTCATATTTTATGTAAAAAGAAAATGTAGCATCTATTCGCCAATGACTGCGCATGCTCAACATTACAGTACATGGCATTACTAGACCATTATTAAATTCGTTATATATATATATATATATATATATGTGTGTGTGTGTGTGTGTGTGTGTATGTATATATACATATATTATATATATATATATATAAACAAAAAAAGATTTTACTTTTTTTAATATGTAGGCCTACTGTCATTGTGGGGAAAATGCTTCATTTACTAAATCATGGATAACCTTTAGCGTTTTTTTTTTTGTTTTTTTTGTTTTTTACATTTACTATCCACCGACATGTTTATTAGTTTAATAGTTTATAAGATTACAGATTCACAGTCCCACTCTGCAACAAAATTCAGATATTCACCAAGTGAACAGCGTGCGCGTGAACACCCACCACGGTACTATGCGCGCGCCCGCCACCACCACTAGCGCGCGCCGCCGTTGCTGCGGAATTGACGGGGCTGCCGTCGGCGCGAGAGCGGATATAGACACTCACCTAGAAAATAATGAACAACAAATTTGACGCGTGAGTAATAAAAACAACGCAGCACGTTTGCGGGGGTTAGTTGTGCGTGAATGCAAACGCATGTGTTTCAAGCGTCTCTTTAACGCGGAGAGAGAGAGAGAAAAGGGAGAGGGGGAAAAGAGGTGTGTCTAGAAGCTTTGGCATGGGCTGGGAGGTCACTATGTTTAGTTGCATGGTTGGACTCCTACGTTTTTGTGGCCAGATGGATTGTGTTTTAATGCACGCGGTGAATGCTGCATGCAAATGTCCTCTTACAGGGGCAGTTCTGCGTGCACAGACAGGGCCTCCAGGCCGAGGACGGATCACCGGGTTAGGCGTGTGTGTGTGAGCAGCGGGGGCAGGTGCTCTGCGACCCGGGCTCAAACTCTTCAGCCTGCTGGAATGACATGTGGGGCTGTAGGCTGCTAATAAACATGCGAGGCGTACTGCATTAAGCTATACATGGCACGTGGACACAAAACTACAGCAGATAATCATCTGTTACAAAACCAGAGTACTTTATTATGTATGCAAACTTTTCATGCTCAACCACTGAGCATTATAAGCGCAGGTTCAAATAAGATATAGTTTAGTCTGTTTCTGTAAACTCAGACATGGCCTCTGTGTAATAAAGATGACGATTATAACATCCTCAGGAAAGTACAGTGGATATTATAAAGGATGTTACAAAATGTACAGTGACAGTACCATGGCACTGAAATTCATGTACATGTATATAACATGTTTCTTCAAAAAAACTTTCATGGTAACGTTACTTTTTTAAAAGCGTACAATGTAAATGTGATTGTTATACAGTAGTCAACATTTAAAGTGGATCAAAACCTTTCATCAAAGTTATACATGCATTTTGAACAATACCCGTTCTTGTCTTTGGTCTTAGGACAAGTTGATGAACTTTTTTGATTCACTTCAAATGTTGACTACTGAACTTGTAAATAAAGAAAAAGTGTATATACTCGTGTATATATATATATATATATATATATAGATGTATAGGCCTATATGAAAATTTAAGCTTGTATACATATTTATCTTATATCCTTTATAACATTTTTCTGATACTTAAGCTTTATATAAATGACACTAGAACATAAATGTACTAAATTAGTTAGTAAATATATATATATATATATATATATATAGTTTTGAGTTGTCTTTTTTTCAGTTGGAAGCCACTGCATGTGCTTTAGTTCCTGATTTAATTATGTATTATTGCTCTGATTGAAGCCACAGTAATAAATAACACATTGTGGTTGAGTGAAATTGAGAGTTTTGTCTCCATTTAAGCCTGAAAGATGATGACAGTGGAGATCACGACCAGGACAACTGCTCACCCAAAGACGGGGAGAAGGAAAAAAATGACGAAGAGGAGAAAGACTCAAACACTACCAAGAGAAAGGTATGTAGATGGATGGCAGACGGACAGAGCAGGAATTAACAGTAGATAACTGTGCTCTACTTCTGCAGGCGGTGGTCCCAGGGGCCGGCGAACACCCTCTTCAGTACAACTACTCATTCTGGTACTCTCGCCGCACACCAGGACGGCCGGCCAGCACACAGAGCTACGAACAGAACATTAAACAGATCGGCAGCTTTGCTTCGGTAACATGCACGAAAACTCACATGAACATTCAGACACAGGCACAGTGGGGGTTGAAGTTAGACTGCCTTACTGTAGGTCACATGACTGACAGTTCAACAGCTGTTTTGTGTTTGTAGGTGGAGCAGTTCTGGCGTTTTTATAGTCACATGATCCGACCGAGTGATATGACTGGTCACAGCGATTTCCATTTGTTTAAGGAAGGAATCAAACCCATGTGGGAGGTGAGTTTGGTCAGATTACATTCACGCAAGCAGCTTTTCTAATGACAGATAATAGAATTTCTATTGTATTGTATAGGATGATGCCAATAAGAGTGGAGGTAAATGGATCATTCGGCTACGTAAAGGCCTGGCGTCACGCTGCTGGGAGAATCTGATTTTGGCCATGCTGGGTGAGCAGTTCATGGTGGGCGAGGAGATCTGTGGGGCCGTTGTGTCCGTACGCTTCCAGGTACTGCCGTTTACTTTGTAGGAAGAGAATTGATTGTATGCTTGGATCATTGTGGTTTGCTATTGCTGTGACCTGACTCACATGAGTGATAGGTTGTCCCGCCCTCGCGCCAGTAAACACATCATAATAACAATGTTCTGTATTGAATAAATATTTGTGTTTTGGTTTGAAGGAGGATATCATTTCTATCTGGAATAAGACAGCCAGTGACCAGGCCACCACTGCTCGCATTAGAGACACTTTACGCAGAGTCCTCAACCTGCCTCCTAATACCATTATGGAGTACAAAACACACACTGACAGCATCAAGTGAGTCACACACACATTATACACTACAGTTTAAAAATGTGGGCTCAGTAAGATTTTTTTTTTATTTTATTTTTTATTTTTTTTGAAAAAATGTAATGCTTTTATTCAGCAAGGATAAATTGGTTAAAAGCGACAGTAAAGAAATGTATAATGTTACCAAAGATTTCTATTTGAAATAAATGCTGTTCTATTCATCAAAGAATCCAGAAAAACATTTTTTGTATTATGGTTTTCATGAAAAAATTAGGGCTGTCAAACGATTAATCGCGATTAATCACATCCAAAATAAAAGTTTGTGTTTACATAATATATGTGTGTGTACTGTGTATAATTATTTTTAATACATAAATACCCACACATGCATGTGTATTTAAGAAATATTTGCATGTATATACTGTATATAGACTGAATGTAGCCTATATATAATGTATATTTTATATAAATATAAACATTTTATATATAAATAACATATTTTTCTTAAATATATAAATGTGTGCATTTATATACAAAATAATTATACACAGTACACACACATATATTATGTAAACACAAACTTTTATTTTGGATGCGATTAATCGTGATTAATTGTTTGACAGCCCTAGAAAAAATATAAAGCAGCACAACTGTTTTCAACATTGATAATAATAAGAAATGCTTCTTGAGCATCGAATCATCATATTAGAATGATTTCTGAAGGATCATGTGACACTGAAGACTGGAGTAATGATGCTGAAAATTCAGCTTTGCAATCACAGGAATAAATGACATTTAATACATTTTACATTTAAAATATATTAAAATAGAAAACAGCTTATATATATATATATATATATATATATATATATATATATATATATATATATAAAATAAATACAGCCTTGATGAGCATAAGACTTTTTTCAAAAGAATTAAAAAAAATCTTACCAACCACAACATTTTGAATGCTAATGTATGTGGATAAAGTATTAAATAGTAAAAACTGTTATAAGTCTATCAATTACAATAAATATAGAGTTATTTAGGAGAGAGTGGGGAAAATGTGTCAGTTGTGGCGCTTTTCCATTGCATAGTACGGCTCGGGGGGTTTTCCATGGTGTACAGTACCTAATACCTGCTACTTTTTTTTAGCACCACCTCGGTTGAGGTTCCAAGCAAGCCGTACCAATACTAAAATGTGACGTGTAAACAGTCCAGGTCACTGATTGGTCAGAGAAAATCGTTACTACCAGTGTCATTGGATTTGCGACACGAGTCACCAAACCCAATAGGTTTAAATAGTCAGCAACAGCCACTGCAGTATCATTTGTTCGCACTACTTTTTTTAACGACTTGATTTAGATGACCGTCGCATGCAATTTGAAAAAAGAAATGGCTGTATCGTAGTCACGGCAGTAGAGGCGGCGCAACTGTGATGATCAGTCTATAATCCCAGTCCCACCCACTTTGAAGCGGTACTAAACTTCAGTGGAAAAGCAAACCGAGCCTGTGCATAAAGCTTGTCATGTGACCATCATACCATATATCTTTTGTGAGATGCATACATTTACTACATGACAGAAAATATGAGTTTTAAGTCAAATTATACATTAGTTTTTTTTTCTTTTTATCTGTAGTGTCGATTCGATATGCTTGATAGTATTAATTTATGTTGTGTGTGTGATATTTTAGAGCTTGGGAGGATTTCCATGGTCTAGTGAACGCAAGTGGAGGCCGCTAGTTTTTCATCCGGAGAGTGTGTGACGGGTATAAACTCACGACACATAATCACTCACTGGAACTGCTTAGTTCTCATTAGGAGATTTTACATTCACTCCCATCATGTTCATCACTGTGTAAAAGTGTTACTTGTTTCTCCTCATCTAGATTACCAAGTTCATTTTCCCACGGAAGAGGACATTTCCAAGGAGGATAACCTGAAATCGATCTGTTTTTAAAAGGAAAAACAAAAGGGACGTCATGAAAAGAGTCAGCATGAGACATTTTTACTATTGAAGACTTCTGGCTTGTGTTTTTATAATCATCCATACACCACATCACCTGAAAACTCTCACAGAAGAAGATGGAGCCAAATCATCAACATGCGAACGAATGTTTTCCAGTCAGCCATTAGGCTGAGCTATCAGAGCGGGACCGAATAGTTCTGCCACTGTGACATGAACTAATGGCTGGAAACTGCCACCGTTTTCGGAAAAGAAAAACAACATGCCTTTGTGTAGTACAGTCACGTTTACCTGAATTATCATCTTAATAATAAAGTCTCGTGAAGATGGCCCAAGCAGGAAGACAGAATTCATCTAGGTCACATTATTTACCAATGAGGTTGCAGATTGTTGGGGATATTTTACTATAGTGCAGTATTTTAGCTACAGTGTTGAGTTGTTTTAACATAGAACTGTTGTACAAAAAAAGAATTATATTTCTAAGCGCATTTGGAGAGATCTATAATGGCAAACGTTTTATTTCTCTTGAGTTTGTGAGTGTAAACCCAAAGGACAGTGCCCTACCAGGGATGGGTGCCATGCTGCCTGATTCACTGTGCCTGGCCTTCGCCTCCTGCAAAACACTGATTTCCAAGATCGCTCAACATCCGCTGGAGGAGTCGACACTGGAGAAACGACTCTATCATAGGACTTCAAGCCCTGTTTTAGAAATCATTCAGACATGCTAACTAACAAGCACTGATGTGGGGGATAATGGGGGCTGTGTATCAACACCTGCTTTATACTGCCTGAAATTCAGTGCTGGTGCTGGACAGTTGTATTTGAGGTACATAAAAAAAAAAAAAAAAAAAGTGGAAAGGTTGTTTTTAAGTATGATTGATCATAGCAATAAATGTTGATTATGCATCTGCTGCTAATTTTCAGCCTGTGGTGTGACTCTGTTAGTAGTTTTTGCATCAATATAATTTAAAGAACATTAATTAGATATACAGCCCTACTGATAATACCTGGGGGCTGTTCCATAAATGAAGCTTAAAAAAGCGGGGATTAAACTCCAAAACCGGACTTGAATGAGCCTAACAAATAAGTTGGGGCTAAAGTGGTTCCATAAAAGGTAATTGAAGTTCACACAATCTCACTAATTTGATCCAGGTTTATCTAGTCTAGATAATTGCGTGTGCACGCGTTTCTGAAGCAGCCCTAGAGGTCGATCGTGGATCAAATCGATCCATCATCAAACAGCGTAGTTTTTGTGCTGTTTTATGCATTTGTGACATGTTTTTTTTTTTTCCCTCAGTGCAAAAATTACATTTTACAGTTATATTCTCCATCTGTAAATGTTAGAAAGTCGTGCAAATGTATCCATTTTGCTGCTAATCTTCATATTGAACGAGCGCTGCTGCGCGCATGCGCGCCAAATAGGAGCGCAATAATTCTGATTAAAAAATATACATTATTGGCGCTTTTCCACTACACAGTACCAGCTCGCCTCGGCTCGGCTCGGCTCGACTCGACTCGCCTTTGTTTGGTTTTCCACTGTGTAAAAGTTGTACCTGTACCTGCTTTCGGGTACTTTTTTTCGTACCACCTCCGGCGAGGTTCCAAGCGAGCTGAGGCGAGCTAAGCCGATACTAAAATGTGACGTGAAAACAATGCCGACTGCTGATTGGTCACAGAGAATCTGCGTCATCATTGCACGCGCCAGATGGAGTATTTTAAATAGTTTGGCCAGAGATAGTTACTAAACTTACTACTATTATTATGGCAACTCGGAAGAATACGCCGTGGTCAAACGAGGAGGTGCAGACATTCCTTTGTTTGGTTGCCGAAGAGAGGATCCAGCGAGAGCTTGATGGGGCAACGAGGAACGAAATGCGTCGCTATGACGACCGGGTACTATTTGTGGCGGTACTTTCTGCAATGGAAAACGGAGCGAAAAGCGAGCCGAGTCGAGGCGAGCCAAGGCGAGTCGAGTCGAGTCGAGCTGGTACTGGTAATGGAAAAGCGCCATTTGCTTGGAAAATTAAAATGCGATATTTTAGAACACTAGAAATATCTTCTAATTATAATAATTTCTCTTTAGGATGTTGGATAAGTTGCAGTGAACTTCTAGCTCATTACACTCATTTTATACTTCTAATAGGCCTAAATAAAAAAAATTGAACAGAAATAGCCTAATTCAGGGAAGATTTTTTTAAAGAAACTAAATATATAAAGATACAAAATATAGTTTTGGGTATAGGACCTATGCTAATAAAGATATAGGCCTATACTTATTTAGAATGCTGAGAATTGCACCTTTTAATGCAATGATTTTTTTTTTTAGAAAGCAAGAATCCCCAGTTTTAAATGAGTGGTTAGATTTAGTTTCTAAAGTACATTATGGAGAGGATAACATTAAATTAAGAACAAATGTATACATTTTGAAAAGATATGTGCAACTCTAAAATCAAAGAATATTCCATAAAATAAAGGAATATATATTGGCCTATTTACTACATTTTTATGTAACCTTCCCTTTTATTTCTAGTTATTTGTAATTTTATTTATCTACTTATTTAATATTGAATATTTGATATTTAAATAATATTACTTGAATAACTATTAGGAATTATGTGTCATTCATTATAAGAGTTTGATATATGTGAATGTTATATTTTTATTAATATTTATTTATTGTTTTATTTATATGTATGTGTTGGTATTATCACAAAAGAAAAAAAAGTAGAAGGAAAAATAAGGAATATTTATTGGGGGAAAATAATGTCTTTAAAGGAACTGTCCATTTGTATAATTGTGTTAAATGTGTTTGAATTGAAAGACATAATAAAGTACATAATAAAGTACATAATATATATATATATATATATATATATATATGAGACAGTGTAGAAAAAAGAATTCTCTGATAACCGAGGCATTCCTTAATTAAAATGTCTTTATTACAAAAATGACATGTCCTAAACGGACAACTTTAAAACGCCTTATATATGTGTCTATATTGTAGCCTTATTTAAGTTGATTTTCTGTATACTGTGTATTTATAAAGTCCAATAATGGTATTAGAGACTGTCAGTGGTAATATCATTGTGTTCTTGTCGGTCAGTGTTGAGGATCTGTGTAACAACTGAGGCTTAGCCTGACAGTTAGCCTGCCCTGGACCAGGCTAGTTTCCCAGCATAAGTTGCCAGGGTAACTGAGTTTTAACTTTTTTAAGTTTGATTTATGAAACCGAATCTACCAAAAATAAGCCTGACTAACCGAAATAAGCCTGGCTTATACTCTAATCTTGGTTTATGGAACAGCCCCCAGGACTTTGATTTCAGAAAGTTTCTACTTACTGGGGATTGAATCTGGATCTTATCTTCCAGTAAATTTTGTTGTCCAGTAATTTTTTGTTACCAATGGGCCACTCCAAACTAAAAAGTCTGTTAAAGGGTGAAGGTCCTCCATTATGCACCTTGCGCAAGAGTCCAAAATTTTGGCATCATTTCATGCTTTTCATTAACTCCTCTAGGACTCTTTACTATTTTGTTGATTCATTTGAAAAGATTTGAATGAAGTGAGGCCAAATTTAGTAATAGATTGTTTTTATTATTATAAAAATATCAACTTTACAAACCTTTTGAACAAAAAAAAGTATTATTTTTTTCTGTTCATATTTTAACCTATTTCCCGTCATGAAAATAGTCACGGAAGCTGGCATGGTGTTAAATTATAAACAAACAAATATAGTGCATTAAACATTTAACCCTGTAAGACCTGATACATTTTTTTAATGGGTTTATTAAATGTTTAGACAATATTATTTAAATTTTCTTTGTGAGTATCATAGTTATAATATGTATGATATAGGAGAATACGGAGCTCATACTTGAGATGGAAAAAACACCTCAAATTCATTCAGAGGCCCAAACCGAGCCAACATATGCAATTTGTTACAGTTGCTGTTATTTATATGGCCAAAAAGTAAGATAAAATTCTGATAGCTGGTAAATGAATGAAATCTTTATAACAATATAACAGACTATTTACAGTATAGTTGTCAGTCACTCTATATCTCAACAATATATCTTAGTAAAATATTTAGCATTATTTAACTGCTTAGTTTCATGATCAAAGATCTGTAGTTTTTATTGTGAAACATATAATGCAATGCAATACAATGGTAATTGAAAGATATACAAATAAACAAACATTCCCCAAATGCATCATATTTGATACATTTAACATAATTTTTCTTTAAAAAGTTGCTAGTTAGTGTTCATCTTGCAATATTTACTAACAATACAAAAAGTTATTCTTGTGTACTTTATTAAAATCATTAAAGATTCTAGAGCAAAATGATACCACAACCTGTACATTAGAATTACATTAAAAGGACTTGTACTTGCTAGAAAAGTATGAACTATCAGACGACAGAAGGCATGTAGTAGATCGTGTACAGGTTTTTCAGCAAAGTTTTGATCATGTTGATAATTTAGAGGCCGTAGGAATGTGTGTATTAAATATGAAACTATAGGGTTAATATTATGTTCTGTGCAAATTAATACTCAACATTTAAATGCTATTTCGGTGTGTTTAGTTTATAGAGGTGTAGAGAGGCTCTGTACAGGGATTCTTGATGTGCACTACACTGTCCAGCTCAGATGCGATTGGATCAGTAAACTGCTGCATCTTGTTAAGCGTCCCCATAGTTTTACCATAGTTCTTGGGTTCACACTCCACTTGAGAGGTAAAGCAGATGTCTTTTATGTCCCAGAAGATATGCCATTTCCACTTAGCTCATCTCAAAAAACATATGATTCTGCAAACAGAAAAAGATCAATGATAAAGCTGTTACATATTAATAATATACCAGCATCTGTGCGGTTGGCAGCTTACCAGCAGGAAGGTAGCAGCTAGTAACAGCACTTTTGTGTTCAAATTCATTCCTTGAGGTACTGAGAGAGAAAGAGATGTTTTTAATAGTCACTCCTGAAGCTGAATTCAAAATAGTCACACTATTATCAAAAATAAATTTTAGTTGTAAAAGAAACCACAATTATTCTAGCCATTAGTCTAGACTATCAGCTTTGTATCTGGGTGCAGGCCTATAACCTATACTGTATGCTTCTCTGAGTGAGAATGCTGGTCTATATTAGTAAAACTACACAGATAGCTGGCTTGCTAGGTAGCCAGATAGACGGATGGATAGATAGATGGATAGATAGATAGATGACTGTTAGTTGACATGTAGTTGCAAGCAAAGTTACTTATAGTTATAAGAATGTCTAAAGTTGACTATCGAAATAATAAATTCTTATTTTTTTAACTTTTTTATTTAAGGGGTGGTTAATTATGATTTCCCTTTTTTAATTTTAGTTAGTGTGTAATGTTTCTGTTTGAGCATAAACAACATCTGCAAAGTTACGAAGCTCAAAGTTCAAAGCACAGGAAGATATTTGCTTTTAAAGAAATCGTTTTTTAAGGACTACAACAAACGGCTGGTAGGAACTACACGACATTCCTCAGGGGTTGGTGACATCACCAACCCTAAACATTACATAAATCCCTCCCCCGGTAATGCGATTTATAGATTATCATGACAGAATATGCTAATCAATGACTAGAAGATAACTACACATAAGCTACCTAAATTCATCAACTAACCATTCAGAAATGTCCTGTTGCATTGTACATGTTGTCACTTCTTGAGTCTCTCCATTATTGTCTGACTCCGGTTTGAACATAAACATTGAAATTGAATGTCTGTGTGAGGTAAAAGGACACAAACTGTTGTAGCTCCGCCCCCTGTGCTTGGAGCAGCAACTCATTGATTTGCATTTAAAGGGACAGACACAAAAACGGTGCGTTTTTGCTCACCCTCAAAAAGTGACAATTTTAACATGCTATATAAAAATATCTGTGGGATATTTTGCGCTAACACTTCACATACACACTCTGGGGACATCAAAGACTTATTTTACATCTTGTGAAAAGGACATTATACCACCCCTTTAATCAACGAATCAATGTTTTCAACACTATTTATTACACTATTATCAGCACTATTTCTAGGTCACATTGTCATGCTGATTACATAATGTGTGACGAAATCATTTTTAAATGTAAAAAAAAAAAAAAAAGTAAAAAAGAAGAATTTTCACAAGTACACCACATGATATGATTGAGGATATGAATCTTACCATCCAGTCCAAAATACTCATGATCCATGTTACATTCCTCACTATATCCAGGCCACCTCTTCCATATGCGCCCAACACTCTCCCCAATAGTGGAAACCACCTGATGCCCCAATAAATGAGAAACGAGTATAATGGGCACAGTATGTAAAAGCTGGGCGATGCAAATGGTCTGCTGGAGGGTTTCTGACCTGAAGCTCTTGCTCAGAAAGACATCGTGTGTTACAGCAGGAGCCCAGGATCCTCACAGCTGAGATGCCCTCGGAGTCACACACCTCGAAATACGGCGTGAACATACTCCACCTGACAAACACCTCAGGGATTATACACACTCTTAATGCCGGGGATTCTCTGGACTGTTAGGCCTAGTGGATGTTCAGTCGTGTGATATTATAGCCTGTTATGACCTGATGGTCTTTGATCACGGCTGTCCTGAGGAGGAGGTCATGTTGTTGGTTTCGTACCACAAATTCGAGCACATCTCTCCCTATTCAATCCGGGAGAGGTTACTGGAGGGTTTTTACACTGACGCAATTAGTTGATTCACAATGGTGACCTTATCTGACCCTGCAGGATAGTTGGCATCATGATGAAACATGATGTGGATGGCTTTGTCTGCATAATAGACTTACAGTACAGGAGTTTACCTCACCTATTACACAACAGTTAGATACGGTCGACTAATTTAATTGAACAAGCGGAATTCCAGAGTGTTAACAAACACTGTTTGGGACGTTCATATCTGAATATTCAACTTTGCTCTCATGGTAATCCATCCACCCCTGAACATCATATAAAAACTGCAGTTAGTTGTTTTACACGTCGATCGGGTGACTTTTTTCTAAGTAGGCGATTCTTGCAGTTTAAAAAGTATTATTTTTAACTGAACCCCTTTGATAAAAATGTTTTCTTGAAGTACCCCCTAAAATTTTAAGTTAATATTTCAATAATTTTCAATAACAGCACATTTGCATGTTATATAATATAATGTATATTATTATTTTTTACTCTAACTAGTGTATAAAAACGAAGATGAAAATATATTACCATTGTAATAATGCTATTGTACTTTTAAATTAAATATGTATTTTTAATAATTATATTAATGATTTAATTTTACACTACAAGCTACAATAGCAATATGACCATTCTTCACTTTAAACATTAAATCAGTGTTATTTTAGTATCACTGACAATTTTTTTGTTATTTTGTTATTTTAGTTATTTTTATTCATTTTGTTGTTTGTTTTTCTAATTTTTATTAGTTATTGTTTTTTTTTAAATATGTGTTTAGTTTTTTGTTAGTTATTTTTAAACTAAAACTAAAATAAGTTAAACTAAATGAAAACAAGAAAGCTGATAGCTGAAATAAAATAGGTTTTAGGTTTTTTAGAAACCTAATGGATTTAGTTGAGCAAAATAACCGTGTTAAACCCTTGAGCTTTTATGTTTGCGTAACAAATAAAAGGAGACCTTTATGTTTTTGTTCAGTTGACGCTTGTTCTTACAAATCTAGTAAAATGTGGAACTACTATGTCCACAAAAATGTTGGATGTTAAGTAATCGTTGCAAACGTTGTGTTTCAAGACGTTATAAGTGATATGCACAGATGGAGTTCATGAGCAGTATTTACTGTGAACTGAGCTGCTCTGAGACACTGAACACATAAGGAACAGTGTCATGCTTCAATCTGAAACAAGCAGCGCATCAGATCAAACCCCTGCATTGGGTTAGTGCAAAAATTGATTTCATTATTTAGATGAAACGTGCAGTCCTATTGATTTATTTTAATTGGACATTTTTATGATTTTAAATACATTTTTTAGATTTTTTTGTCTAACTACATGAGACAAAGATCTGGTTTGCTGTTGATGACTACCTTTGGTGAACCGTCCCAATAAACTCTCTCTCTGGTGTATAGGCCCTTATTTCCATCAGGCAGCAGCCGAGCCAGCACATCTCTGCTCTCAGGGGCCTTTCGAACCGGAAGACACACTCTGCGTTCTTATCGAAGCCTTGTAGTGAACAGGATCGAGCCGGACCACAGCACTGCATACAAACGCATGAGCTCTCTAACAGAGATGGGAACACAAAAGATGGGTTTTGTGGTATAAATCAGTTGTGATATAAGTTTAGACGTGGCTGTTTTGGTGGCTTCAACACTGTAAATAAGAGTAAAATCATCGTAAAGTGCCCCTATTATGCTTTTTGGATATTACCTTTCATGTAGTGTGTAATATATAGCTGTTTAAATGGTCTGCAAAGTTTCAAAGATCAAATTGCTCCCAAAGGAAAGAACCATTTCTGAACTGCCTGAAACAAGTCGTCAGTAATTCCATCCTTACTTCCTGCACTAACCTGAGTTGGTTTGTAACACATTTGCATGATGCCATTCTATATGCCCGTGAACAACGTCTACTAGTTTGACCCTCAAACATTGACTGGGCCATCTGACCAATAGAGAGACCGAATCCTTTACAGAGCCGTTTAAGACACTGTGAGAAAAGAGGTGATGCTGCAGTGAACATTATGAGACAATTAAAGTGTTTTTTGACCTTGAATGCATGTAAACCTGTCGTTCAAAACAAAATGAAAAACTATTAAAATAGCATAATATGAGCACTTTACAGAATGATATGAGAATTAGAGGACTGCACATATCCTGTGTCTCATATTTACCTTCCACAGCCACAAAGAGCTGATCACTGGTTTCTGTGGAGATGCTGTATGTTCTTCGGGCGACACACTGTGGACCTGAGACATTACACAAATACTGAATAAACCTCCATTAAACCGCTTTATATTTACACAGGAAATTGTATTCTGTGAGTACCATGTCCAAGCTATTCCACATTTCAGAAAAAAAAAACTCCAGTAGTGGCCAAAAGTGATGTACATATTTGTTGTGATATTTGTTTTTTTGTTTTTTGACCCTACAAGGTCAATTAGACGATCAAAATTCAAGGGAAATATTTCATTTTTCTAATATTTTCAAGGAAAAACAAAACACGAAACTTCATGCTTAAGGTATGTATCTTACAAAATTATTTGGCAAAAAAGCAAACTACAGCTACAGGTTTTATTTTACTATGCATACAAAAATGCATAAGAAAACAAAACGCTCACAGGAAAAAAACATACACTGACTACAACATAAAAAATGTATCGTTGATTCGGTCTTGTTTTTGTATGTGTTCATAATTTCTTTTTATGACAGCCTGGTCAGCTCAATGAATTATGCGGACATATTTTCTATCACAAAGAAAACAACTGACTCCAAGCAAAATAATGTAATATGATTACAAAATATTTAACAAATAAAGGGTGAAGGTGTAAATTCTCACTTTTGACAACTACTGAATATTGGATTTATTAATCAAAAGAGTGATTGAATATGTTTTTAATATTTCTTTAAAGATAATCTATATGGGTGATAGCAAACAAATATTTATCTATTAAATAATATTATATAATTATTATTATTTACTTCAAAATTATTTATTTATTTATTTATATCATTCAATGCTGATTTGGTGCTCAAGTAATAATTGTGCTGCTTAATATTTTTGTGGAAATAATTTTTTAGAGGATTCTTTGAAAAATAGAAAGTAAAAAAAACATTTGTAACATTATCAATGTCTTTACTGTTACTTTTAATAAATATATGCATCCTTATGGAATAAAAGTCTTCCCTTCTTTAAACAAAAATCTTACCCCAAACTTTTAAACGGTAGTGTAAACTTATCGTAATCATTTATAAATAATAATATAGAACTATAACAGTAATATAACAATAATAACAGATCATGTTTCATTAAAATTTATATCTTATTTATAATAAAAATCAATCATTTGCTGTTTGAAGAGATAAAATGTCAGAAACTTTGAACGTTTTTGTTACACCACATTTTAAAGATATTATTTTTTTACATGAAAAACAGCCGACTGTTTTTTTTTTTTATTGATATTTATAGATGTTTTATTCACCTTGTAGTTCAGGTCTGGCATTAATGTGGAGTCTCGTGACTGTTCTCAGAACAGACAGTTTTCCCAGTCTTTTCCCGCCGGGTCCCTCGTCCTCTCCTCTCCTGTCTGTAGACCCGAGCTCAGCCGTGAGGTCCTGGCAGTCTGTAGCAGGTCCAATCGGCCTGTGGAAAGCTCTGAAGAGCATGTCAATATGTCTCTCCCTTTCCAGACCAAAGGGAAGAGGCTGAGCAGTCACAGATGGGAAGGCCTGAGAGAGAGAGAGAGAGAGAGAGAGAGAGAGAGAGAGAGAGAGAGAGAGAGAGAGAGAGAGAGAGAGAGAGAGAGAGAGAGAGAGAGGTATAAACACTCCATTTGAAATTCAAAGCAAATATATGTCAATGAAAATCAGTGAGAATTGCCCTTTGCAACCAATTTTATTTTTATAATGCAATGCAGTTCTGTGTGAAACAGGAAATTAAATGAGAAACACCAGACAAAGGGGTTCACTAAAACAGTGTGTTAATATTTTGTTTTAAAAGTTTTTTTCTTCTTTTCTGCATTTCACTCCTGATCCAGCTTGTTTCCCAATCTAGCCTTCTAATAAATCTGCCATTGTATATTTTAAACATCAAATATTATTGACAAATTGTTTATGCATTTCATAACCATATTCATTTCATAATACTTGCAACCAGTTTTTAGATAACTATAAAAAAATTGCAACAATTAAAAAAAAGGGGGAAATTTACTAACTAAATATAAAAATAACTAAAAAATAATAATAAAAACATTATTTAAATGTATTCTGAGAGGAAACATTTCATTTAATAACATATTTTTATTAGTATGAAAAACATGTTATTAATAACATGTTTAATAGCATTGCTTAATAAATATTAATTATCAAATTAATATTAATATTAAGACTGATTTCACAGTAAAACACCAGAAAATAAATAAGGTAAAAGTTATTTTTAAGTTTTTTTTAAATTCTCTTTGCAAACAGCTTTTTTAAGGAAACCATAAAAATAGCAACAAATTTAAGAAAAGCGGGAAAATGAAATAATAGCGCGTAATATTCAATCAGACAATGGATTTTCCTTTTAAAATAAAAGTTTCTGATTAAGCCATAATAGATCGTTTGTTGTGTACCTACGCTGAGACATTGGTCATTAAAGTGATAGTTCACCCAAAATGTTTAATTCAGTCATCATTTACACACCCTCAAGTGGTTCCAAACCTGTATGAATATCCTTCTTTTGCTGAAAACAACAGAGAACAGCGATGAGAGAGAGAGATGAATTCTTACCATTTCAGGCCCTGGGGTTTTAGGCGCTGTTGGGCAGATGTAGTAGTGATGGAACGAGGCTTTCCTTTACTGAGAAACAGCAGTTGTGATGCTACTACACCAAACACCCCCCTCTCTGCCCTGCTCTCTCCTTCCCGGATCTGCTCTTTGTCAGACAGAAAAGTACCAGTCAGCCATGTAATGAAGATCCTCCTCAAGCTAGTGGGGGGTAGTGGAGTGATATTACCTAAACTGAAACAATTCACATGCTTGCATGCAGAACATCATCTTTGTCCTCTAAGTAGAGAAGGTTACAGTTTTTTTATTTTCAGAATAGCATCAACTGTTGAATCACTAGACAACATTAAAGCTGATTGACAAGCAAATAATATGACATTTATGATTATGAACAACTGATCAAAGCCATTTTATGTCTCAGATGGCTTCAGATCCAACCAGCTCTCTTCTCTGAATCGCTTTCAGTAGGTCTACAGCAGTCTCTTCAACAAAGTCCTCCAGTCTTCTGCTGCAGTTTCTCTGAGTCTATCGTTTTGAACTTGTGTTCATCCGGTGATGTCTCCAGGTGAGATTTCAGGCAGGTATTTTTTGGGGTCTCCTGGGAAGGGCTGAGATGGTGCCTGGTTAAAATGTCCCATAAGGAAGATTCCGATGGTGCCCAGTATAAACAGCAGCGCCATGACGATAAAGCACATCCTGTCAATCACCCTGGCAACCAGAAACCATTCTTCATTTTCCTGCAGAACGAGAAAGAAAGAAAAAGGATGTCCGGAATTCAGACGTCAACAAGTTTTTTTTTCTTGGAAAGTTAAACCCTAACACAAACATTTGCTGCTAATGTGTTTATTTTGTAAATGAAAGACACTTTCAGCCTCATGTGTGGAGAATTCTGGAACAGGGACTCACACTTTGAAAGTCATTTTGATGCTTGACACTTTCTGCAAGGTTTTTACAGGAAGACACACACTGCTGCACTTCTGGTGAAGCCGAAGCCAGACTGGATTCCAGATCCGGTGCCGTGTTTCCTCCTAGACCATTTTCTGAGGTCAAACCACAAACAGCAAATTAATGTCTGCAACCATTTGGGGTAAATATAGCAGAAAATATTATTTAGTTGTATTTAATAGGAAACGTTTAATTTAATTTATTTTATTTTTAATTTATTGAAATGTTCAAAATTATTTAATATTTATATTATACATGATTTATTGTAATTATTTATATTCTATTAAATACCAGTGTTGTTTTAGTTTTTATTTTAGTTTTATTATAGTTTTTTAATATTTAGAATTAGCATTTTTTTTCATGTTCAGTTTAATTTTATGTTTAGTATATTCGTTATCTGCTTCTTTTTTCTTTAAAAAAAAATGCTATTTAGGTTTAATTTATTTTTATTTCAGTTTATGTTTAAGTTTTAGTTTTTATTTATTTGTATTTATTTGCAGTTAATATTTTCAGTGCTTCAAATTAAACTTTTTTTCAGTTTATTGGTAAGGCAACATTTTGTTTAGTTTCAGTTTTTCAGCTTATATTTGATTTTATTTCAGTTTAAGTATTATTTCAATTAACATAAATGTTTTAATAGTTTTAGTTTGTTAAGAATAAAAACCCTGTTGAATACATTTTTTTTTAAATATAATATATTAATATTAAATTAAAATGTTTTTGAAAAAAGTGTCTTATGCTCACTAAGGCTGCATTTATTTGATCAAAACTAATATTGTAAAACATTACAATTCAAAATAACTGTTTTCTATTTAAATATATTTTAAACAGTAATTTATTTACTGCTGAATTTTCATCATCATCAGTCTTCAGTGTCACATGATCCTTCAGAAATCATTCTAATATGCTGATTTGCTGCTCAAAAAACATTTATTATCATCAAGTTGAAATGATCAGTTGTAGCCCACTGCTTAATATTTTTGTGGAAACCATGATAAATTCAAGATTCTATGATGAATAGAAAGGTCAAAAGAACAGCATAATTGAAATAGAATTTTTTTGTAACATTAAATGTCTTTTCTGTCACTTTTAATCAATTTAATACAAAATAAAAGTATTAATTTATTTCAAATGTATTAATCTTACCGACCCAAAACATATGAATGGTAATGTATATAGTTTGTTCGTAACTGTTGACTCACGTATTTTCTCCAAAGTGTTCTTCAGCAGCCCCTTCCTCTCCTTCAGTCGACTGAACATCAGCTCAGAGCGAGCAGTTCTGAACATGTATTCATCAGCCTTTGCTATTAATCCCAGAGAGCTGCGTCTCCTGCGGCGAAGCGGGGTGCCATTACCCAGGGCAAACATTTTAAAATCCCCTTCCTCCTGCTCAGGTGTCCAGCGCCGCATCGTCATCCTCAGCAGACGAGGAAGTATGTTCAGAAAGACCTAAGATCCCCCAAAATGGAGGGAAAAGACATTATAGACCTTAGCACTACATAAATGCATTTGGAAAATGCTGTTGGCACAAAGTGACTATTACCATTGCATTCAAGATAGTAGCCTACGTTTTTGGATAATAAAATCCAAGACCTTCACATTTGTGGCATCATGTATAATAATAACTTACTCATTCTTTCCTTATGGATTGGACAAAAGGTGGTTAGACAGTTCAGTTGTACTACCTTTCTGATGGTGTTGTTCATGGGGTGGGTGTTTGGAGTTCGCAGAGAGACGTTCAACGCCACCACGCAGTTCATCACAGTTATTGTGGTCACGGACATCACAAACATCAGATACCTGCCAGAAAAACACACATTTCTCAAGGGGGGCTAGAACAGCACCATTTCACTACCTGATTTAGCTCTTATGCTAACATTAGACCACAAAGACACAGATAGTCTACATAGCACGTGACCGATCTCCCACAATCTGTTCACGACACTAACCATGTGACATACATATGGCTCATTAAAAATGACGAGCACTTTCTCAAGCTGCCAAGATTTAATCTGATTGGCTGGTTTGAAATATGTGCTAACTATCTTCAGTACAGACTTTTCCAATGTACACTGCCTTTCAAAAGTTTGGGGTTTAAAGAAGATTTGGAAAAAGTCTCTTATGCTCACCAAGGCTCCATTTATTTGATTAAAATTTAAAATAACTGGCTCAATGTTAATATCTATTTTAAAATATAATTTATTCCAGCAAAGTATTCCAGTCTTCAGTGTCACATGATCCTTCAGAAATCATTCTAATATGCTGATTCGATGTTTAAAAAACATTTCTTATTATCGTTAATGTTGAAAACAGTTGTGCTGTTTAAAATACTATTTTTCAGGATTCTTTGAAAAATATAAATTTCAAAAGACCAGCATTTATTTATTTCACAATGTAAACGTCACTTATGCGCATCAAATTAATGTCAATTTAATGCGCCCTGGCTAAATAAATGTATTCATTTCTTTAAAGACAAAAAACCTTACTGACCCCAAACTTTTGAACGATAGTGTATGATTTATCTTCTATTACACACAATCAATACAAGTTTATCTGAAACTGCTTAAAAGGTGTGATGAGTGAATAAAAGCCCAGACTCACTTTCCAATGAGAGGAACAGCCTGGGAGGTTTCTGGCACTTTCTTGGCGATAAGAAACAGGAAGACAGTCTGACCGAGCAGGATAGCAATGGTCATAGTGCATTTCTGTCCCCCAGCTAATAAAAACAAATAATTAAATCATCAATAATCACACTGACTGATCATAACCCAGTCAGTCAGCTGCCACTATTAACAGTCATGGAGAAAGAGGGATCTATTTCATAACTGATTCACAATGTGTCTCCTGATTTGTTAGATATAATAGATCTCTTACCATAAAAGTACTAATTCACTTTCATCAAATGGTCCAAACATTTATTCACAACAAGTCCCCCCCCCCCCAACCCCCCCCAGCAAATGGCCCTGATTGACATTATCGGTCAGATCACTTCATGTTTAGGTTGTTTTTCCTCCAGAAAATCCTCTGTATTCCTATAGAAGTGTTGGATATCGACCACTGTAACATCAATCGTTATGGAGCCTGTCTGACCTTTGGCCGGCAGGAAGTAGACGAGTAGCCCAAGGGATGAGAAGAGGACACAGGGCACGATGATATTGATGACGTAGAACAGTGGTTTCCTCTGGATGATGAGGAAGAAGATGATCTCCTGGCGCTCCAACTCATCTGGGCTGTATCGCTTCTTCACAACCTTCTTAGCAGGGCGGTGCTTAATAATCCATTCCCCATTCTCTGGCCAATCGGGGCACATGACATGTATTATCTTAGAACTGTACATTTCTAGACATATGGACATTACTTGGACACAGTCACTTCACATTAATTGTGGTACAACAGATTAAAACAGGATAACTGTACCGTACAAATGCATAGCGCTATATAAATAAATGTGAATTGAAAATGTGAATTGAACTTAAAGACAGAGATCTGAACAACCCCTATCTCACCACATGAAGTCTGGTCACATTTACAGTTGTTCTGCGACTTTTCACGGCCAAAATGCATTTCAATAGGAATCTACGCGATCTGGGATATCGCGTGAGGGTGAAAGATTTCCTAATGCAAATTTGTTCAATTCACTATTAACAGAAAGTTACTTGATTTGAAAGTGACTTATGTTTGAGCTGTGCTTCATTCAAAGCTGCATTATTGACCTTAATAATTGTGAAATTTCCAAAAATAAATTGTTGCAGCTGCCGTTAGAACAAAGTCCCTTTAAGGCAAGTCATTTCACTCGGCGCTGGCGGCCATCTTTGAAACGCCTGTCGGGCATGCAAGTGCAGCTCTTATCTCTTTGAATGGGGAAACATCAAATTCTCTAATACTGTTCGTCAAGCCTACGATTAAATTCCATATTTGAAATCACTAATGAAACCTGAGAACAACGGTCTCATCAATTTTGTTTCTAAACGCTCAAAACTGTATTTTTTCAGGCTAGACCAAGCTAATGCGCAGTACCGTTAAATGACTGCCGAGTGAACAAACTTTGAAATTACCGACTTTAACGCACAGCAGTCATACTGACGCTTTTGCCAGGCACCCTTTAGCGTCAATATGAGACGCAGATATATGGCGCCTCC